ACACATCAGGACCGAAATAAATTGGGTAGAGAATGCCATCGTAGAAATCTTGTTAGAAATAATATTTGAAATCGAAGTTTATTCGTAATTCACTCGCGATAAATGGTTTGTGTGTGTGGAGAGGGAAGAACTACTTATGGAAACGTCGGGAACTATTTGAGATGGGCAAGCAATCCAGTTGCAGCGTATTGTTGGTTGGCTTGAAAAAAAGACACAGATAAATCGCTTCTAGCTGATTGAAAAATTGAGTTAAAGTAGATCAGATTATGACACACGAGGATATACAAGATGGAGTAGTTGAGTGAGGAATAGAAGACCTGACTGGGGTTGGTCTATTTTATATCCACGGGACGAGCAAGTGGTTAGAAAGCTGAATCGAAGAAAGGTAGGCAGAGGAGCACAAGGCATGGCTGAAACTGTGGACAAGGAAGAGATGGTGAGGAAGTTCTTGCTTGCTTGGCATTTGAATCAAACCAGGCATCAAACAACCGCGAGCCGTTTCCCCATGAGGGAAGATACCAAGAATCAAAAAATCATAATAACAAGAATTGTTGAGGGGTCACGAATATGTAGCTACAACTTACAAGTTATCTAATGATCAGTTGCACCTTCCATGCATGCATGCCGCCCATCGGATCTGTGAGTAGGGTCCACTGCAGAAAGAAACTTGCGGTGATTATAACGACCTTTGATACTTGCGAAGTTGCAATGCTTCGTCGTTTTGAACCCTAACCCAACTTTTCGTACTCGTGAATTGTTATCACCCTGGATGCTGACTACGTTCTATTGCGACGCAGTCGGTCTTCACCTGTCGGGATTCCACCAGCTGGTCCCCCGAGAGAAGCCCTTCCCCGGCGAATCATGGTCATGCAAGACTGGGTGGCGAGAAGGCATGCCTCCTCGGCGACTGGGTACAAGATGTCATTCACCGGAGAGGCATCCCCCTTAGCGACTGGCTACACGATGAATGGTCGGGACCCAGGCGCGAGTGACTGTGAGCCGCCGCGAACGTCACCAATCGCCAAGGACCTCACCGTGGTACCTTGGTAGAACATGTGCCACTCGGCGTGGAGAATTCCCGCCTTGGCTGGTGAAAAGACCCGCTCGCCGAGATTCACGCTGTGGATGAATCCGCCTGATCTGTTGAGCGGGTGATCAATGTGGAAGCTGAAGGCCGAAATTGACGAGCAACCTCGTAACTGAACACCTTCACAATTGCCTCATGAGCGTATTCCAAATCCTCAGCAACCACCTTCAAGATGTTGTCAGCAGCATTTCGATTGATACTCCTATGGCTGCTGCTGCTGCTGCTATCCTCATTTTGGATTATTGCTATATTACTTCACTGATGGTAGTCCTCGATGGCGGCCAGGCAACATATGTGCAATTACTATTGAGGGTAGCCCGGCCAGATCTCTTCCGCGAGATCACTAGAATTGAACGTCCAATCGATCAGCTAGTTTTGGAATTCGGAGAAGCAGCGCTCCTTGTATTTCTGGATATTACTCGCCACACTGACAGCAGCTTCATGCGTCAAATGGCAGTGAAGTTCTGACATCTTGGAGCGGAGTGAGTATACCACTATGCCAACAAAGCGTGGTTGAAGAACATTGGTTAGAGCAACTTCTTGAGAATCAAAGAAATTCTTTTCACCGTGGACATTGATACAACCGGATAAGAGTTTATGAGAAATTCCGGACTGAGAGAGAAAGTTTTACTGGAAGTACTCCAGTGGTTTCCTAATCACTTCAAGGGTCGCTGGTTGAACCAGCACCAGGAGCCATAAGGTGCGTTTCCAATATCTCCAAACACAAAATCGGTCAACTAAATTTTCTGAGAGAATAAATTTGATCAAATCTTGTTCACAAGATCGCTGATTAGCTGATCCTACCAAAACTGATTCAACGATATCATCATCGACACCGTGGTCTAAGATGTAGGAGCGTTCAGTGGGGCCGGAGCGTCTTGTGGCCTATTTTCATCCAGACGACTCAGTGTTGAGTCACCAAGACTATGCCAAGTCTCATGAGATTTGCACAAATTTTTATCTTCGGTGTAGCGAAGACCCGGCCAGGGAAATCACATCATATCATTGTCAGGGCCCCCGGCTTACCGGCTCTACGAAGAATCATCGGCCGGAATACATAGCATGCTTGAACGATGATGACTGATGACCTCAGATTTAACGGCTTGGTCTCTTGAGGCAGAAAAAAAAAACATTTCATGAGGATACATAAACGGGTTGTGATAGGCACAACCAACCACCCTCCACAATCCTGCACAAGTCTCACATCGTTCTACCGTATATAGTGTAAAATTTCTCCACCCAAACCACCAGTCTTCCAAAAATACAACATAAATCATTCATCATGAACTTCTCGATGACCTGCATAGTTCTTTTATCCATCCTTTCCATGAGCTCGGGTGCGGCTGTACCAAGGCAAGTACCAGGCCGACACGTCTTCAGGATCTACCACGTCTGAGCCCACGTTATAGATTGTATTTCTAACTCTCAGCTAACCCATATTCTTACCTGTTTGATTCCACGTGGTTTATTTGAACTTCCACAGCGGAGGTCCTGGCGGTCCTGGAAAATCTGACTTAACAAAAGGGTACGTCATGAGTGCTAAATCTCCAACTAGAATTGCGATCTCTCTACTCACTATCCTCTATTTGCATTTCTTACCTTTTTCTCTGTTTAGTGGAGCGGCTGGCGCTGAAGCATCAGGGTATGTTAATGACTCCCCCAGATCTCATATATCAATCGTCGTTGTGATATATCTACTTTCCATCCCTATTACCTTTACTTTTCTTTGATCAACCCATTCTCACCCCACTCGAACTTCCTCTTTTAAAATATTCCTGATTTTCTAGCGATGGGGGAAGTAAACCGACCGTAGACCCCGCGACCAAAGCGTATGTCAATCACTCTTCTAAAATTCAATACAAATCACCTTACAATTTTTACTCCCGTTGTTTTTAAATGTATCCACATATATCCTGTGCGATTGGCGCCAAAATTGTATCGAACACCAATAGTGAAAAGAGAAAAACAGCTGCAATGGTTCTGGAGACGGTGTCCAAAGGGTACGCATGCCAATAAATCGTTTATTTGGAATCATGTGTATCTACTAACACCAAACATTTTTTTTCTTGTTTCCTTCTTAGTCTTGGGGCAGGCGAGCTCTCGCTGTCTTCCAAAATCACTCAAGCTGTCAGCTCTGGTCTCAAAGCGGCGTCATAGTATCTCTTATCTTAATCGTCAACGATCGCCCAAAGCCTTTTCTTTTTTATTCTTCAAGTCATCTAGTCATCTATACATGTTTCATTTCTGGCATGTAAAAACAAAAACCGATCGAACCAGCCAAAGGTTTGACGGATGTAAAATGAATTTATCTCCGATATTATGCCCACATTTATCTTCTTTCCCAATGGAAATGTATCCTTGGAAATCCATTCAAGACCATCCATTAATGAGCTCACTAGATCGTATCCACACCGCATCCTCGGATTAAATCCAACAGGATGAGGAAGTCCAAAAAATGTAGGGATAAACATCTCAATAAACATAGAAAAAGAGGGAAATTCTGTGTTTGTCTGAGTGCGTTTATGCTATGGATCTTGATTCACAAAAGTTGGCACACAATTACAAAACCCTACTTGAAAGTGAACTTGCCGTTTTCGTTTGATGAATAGAAAATTCATATTTTCTTTTTCAATCAGTGGCATCAACGGAGAAACAAGATGACTGTTTAAAAAACAGGTCAATTACCCACTGATAGATTTGTGACTTTTTGGGTTCAATTATTTGGACCAATTGAAAAAACTGAGAACTGTCCTTTATAAAGTTGAGCAGCCTGAGAATGATTATTAAACTGACATTCTTTTTTGGAATGGAAGTACAAGTGGTGATTGTTGCTTTGCACATTCAAGTGCCTCCATGTAGATTTGTTACTTTGATCGAGGTGCAGCTTCCAGAAGTGAAGATGAGTATCCAATTGAAGCCATTCTTCTTTCTTTGAAGTTTGGATGTTTTCCAACTAATTATTTTTTGTTGGATCAGGATTCAGGATGCAGGTGAAATCGCAGGAGAGTGGTGTGACGTTTCTGATGAGGAAAAGGTGTGGCTTGAAATACATCCATAATTCTCTGTATGGTTTATAAGGTTCCTTGGGAGTTCTTTCTATTTCGAAATCCAGTTTAGGAATCCATGGTGCCCCCTTGAAAGGAAACAGAGGAGCTTCTCTGGACTTCCTCCATTGTACTGCAAGCTTTCTACACACACACACACACAGCTGGACTCTGACTTTGCTCAACAAGTGGACGACAGCGGCACATACTCACACGGTCACTTCGAGTCTGGAGGAGGATACATACAAATTCACCGGCCTTGGTGTTTCTTTGACAGTCTGTTTTCGGAATTGGAACTGGTTTCTCTCTCGTCGAGTATGTTTGTGTGTTTCTCCGCTCTTGCAAATGTTTTTGTTGGGTTCCAGATGTCGGAGGCCTGAGCTTGATCGGATTCAGAACTCCATGAGCCCGTATTTTTCCAGACATCGACTGGTTAATGACAGCAGCGTCTTCCGTCCAGCTCAAACCTTGCAAGCTGAGATCTCCAGGCTTTCTCTCTGTCTCGCTCTCTCTCTCACTATCTCTCTCTATTGATATTACAAGCATCTTTCCTTCTTCCTTCGAAGACGCGGCCAGAGAGACAGCTGATAATTCTCATGATTGGTTGTGTTTTGACCTCCGCCTAACGACAGCTCAACAAACTCAGTAGTCCAAGAAAGAAAAAAAGAGAAAACTTACCGACTCCAACCAACTCAGCCAGATCGCAATCAGTCCTTTCCGGATGATAAGCTTCTTTCCCCATCTCACCGCCGGACAGTTTTCTTAATCAGTGACTTTGAACTAGGACTTTTTAGCTTAGCCCAATCTACCATCAACAATCATTTCCGCCCATTGCCTCTTTAATTGGCTCATCATCTCCCGTAACTCTTTTGCCCCGGAACCCGGAACGGCCATCTCAGCTTTTGACAAACTATGACATATCTCCCCTCAGTCTGAACTTTGAAGGAAACAAATCTGAAGAAGAAGAAGACAAAGAAGAACGAAATACAACAACCGGAACTGCATCATTCAAAACCCCGTTGCCTTGGTGTCCAGCTGAGCATCTCCGGTCTCTAGACGAAAATTTCCTCTCAGAAGCTCATCTTCAATTGTCTATCACCCAGCAGCAGCTGAATATAGAAGGAATAGCTGTTTTTTTTTAACTGAGCGAGTTCAAAACATTCAAGACTCATCCAGGCCAAACTTCCCCCTCAACACCCCACACCCAGTCGCAGGGGTTGATCAGCCTGCGTCTATTTTATCTTAACTCCTCACACGTCACAACCAGACTCTCCTCTGCCTTGTCATCTGAAGCAGACAACTACGACATTCCTTAGGAACCGCCATCTTCATCTCCCCCCGAGGAAACAAGAGAAACAGCAGAAGCAACCCTAAATTAAATCCACTTGTAACTCGTCTCTTTGCGATTACAAAAGCAATCGACTTCCTCCGCTCGATTTGCCACTTCCCTCTCCCACCCTATTCTAAAAAAGCCTCCCACCACCTACATATCTGAACTATACATTATACATAGAAAAGGAAATCAAGAAGAAAGAAAACTTGACCATCGACTTCAGACTCAGTTCAAACCAATCAACCAACCAACACTCTTGCTCTCTCAACATGCCTTCTTCACCTAAAGTTGTTCATGGAATATTCGCATTCGGGAGTCTCTCGGCAGCCATCAGCTCAGTCTTGATTTCAATCCGGATGGGAGCCTTGGACTTCATCAAACAAAACTGTCAGTCTTTCTGTTTCACGATGATTTTCTAAGTTGAATTAGATTCACATACACACACACAATGGGAAATGAATGCGTAAACTGAAAAAAAAAACATTGGCTTGGATTAAAAACACACAGTTATCGATGGGCTTTGTGTCGACGTCTGGGATGGGTTTTTCCGGTCGCCGAAGAACCTTATTGCGATTGCATTCCTCGGCTACCTACCGCTCCACTGTTTATCGGTCCGAGCCCCGGCGTCGATGATATGTCTAACAGGTCTGATGGCGATCCCATCGATTCTCTTCTTCATTGCCACCTTCCTCGAGCTCATGCCAGTCGTTCTACCATTGGGTGCCATCCTTCATGGCCTCGCCCTCTTCGGCCTCGCCGAACTCAGACTTGCTCGTCAACCTCTTCCCATTCGTCCTTCCGTCTCCTTCGCTGAGTCTCCCAAAAAAAAAACTTCTAAATCTTCCCTCCGGTCTCTTAAAAAACCCGCGCCCAACTCCGCCTCCACTCTTCGATCCTCTTCCCTCAATCACTCTAACCCTTCGCCCATCTCGCTCTCTCAGAAATCTAAGCCCGGCCCCCCTTCTCCGATCTCGAAGCGCAAACGTCGTGAATCTTGATCAACCAATCTCTCATATAACGCCGATGATCATTTTTCCATCTATTTATTAATCTCCATTTTGTAAACATACACCGCATCCAATGCTTTATATTTCTGTTCATAATGCATATTTTCTTCTTTTCCATCCTCTTTCTTCTTCTCTTTACTCTTTTGTGTCTGCCTCTTTATCTTACTTCTTTTCTTTGATTACAACTATAAACATGCAGCATCTAGAAGGGTTTTCTTTCCATCCTCTTTCTCTCCTTCTTTATTTTCAAACAAAAAAGCATTCACATATTACATGATACACATTATATACAAATATATATTTAATTGAGATATGTAACAATAGCAATACCAAAGCAAAAACAAACAAAACAGGATGACTAGGATTGGGAAGGCCTTGTATAACCTTGAAGAAAGCCTTTCATAGGCAATGCAAGCAAAATTGTGCAGTGATAGATCAGATAAGCTCATAAGAATACAAGAAATACCTTCTTTTTTACCCTGATCTTATAATTCAATTTGACCTGCTTGGTGTGTGCTGGTATGAAAAGAAAACAAGAAAAAGAAATTCAAACATCAGACAAAAATACATTTGTACAAGTTCTTGGAATTTGTTTGTAGTAAAGGATACAGGAGGATTTAGATGGCATGACATCAATCTTAATTACACTGTCCAGATGACTGTAATGTGCAAATGCCCCCCTTCACCAATCAGTCAGCATCTTCAATGGTGGGCCAGCTACGCTAACGGTAGTGTTAGCGTAGCAAAAATACATTACTTTTTAGCGTAGTGTTGGCGCAAATCCACATTCCTGCACTAATGCTATGCGCAAAGGGCACAGGAGTGTGTTAACTATTAGCGTAGTGTTAGCGCAGAAATTTAGGATTGCACTAACGCTACGTGCTCAGGGCACAAAAAAGCACCCGCTAAGCTGTGTTACAGCGCTTTTTAGCGGATTTTTGGCCTTTTTCACTGCTAAAAGCGCTGTAACATAGCGTAGCGCTGGTAGCAACGCGCTAACACTACAAAAAAATGACACTGTTAGCACCACTACAAATTAGTGTAGCCTAGTGATGATACTGGTGCTCTAAACTACACAAAAAAGGGCCCCTTTTAGTGCCGCTACGCTAACGCTAAGTGGCCCTGTAGCGTAGTGGCCCACCACTGGCATCTTCATAAAAATTTCCATTATGTTCATCCCCAAATTTATCCTGAGATTCTCAAAACTCTTTCATCATCAACTTGCTTGCATCAAGCAAGTTAAAAAGAATTATGTTGTGTTGGAGGAAGGCTTACTCAAAATGTTTTCTACAATGGCAGGATTTGAATTTAACTAGGTGGGGAAATCCTATCATCACTTGATGATAGACTAACCATCACATGCGCTCACACACCAGATTTTTTGGTTATGTTCCCCAGAAATACAAAATGCTCTGGGTGAGGTTCTGCTTTTGGTGAGAAATGTGCTGAGTCCAGTACAGATACAATGGTTGATCAGAGATGCAAAATCCCTGGATGATAGACCAGATTACTATTCAACAGAGTATTATTGATTGTGAGGGAAAACCCATCTCCCCTACATGCGCCTGCAAGGGTTTTGCCAAAAGTTTTGATTTTTCCGACATGTCTACAACCTGTTTGAGGGGAAGATTCAGAATCACTTCAAATCTGCAGGCGAGTGGGAATAACCACTACAGATCATCTGACTTAACACTATTCCTGGTGGGAGCTTGCGACCGAGATCGTCAGCTGCATACTTCCTTTTCAGTTTCTCAAGTCGCAAACCTCAAGACTTTAGGGGCTCGTCATGTGGGGCTATCAATACTCAGGGGCCACGTGATGGTCCATTCATAGCGGACCAACTGCGAAGGCTCGTCGCAGCAGGTTTCTGGGACAGGATACCTGGAGTGTCACTATTCCAGTTAGTGAAGTTTCATAAGGAGACTGGCCCAATAGATCGACCTTGCATTTAGACGGTCTACCCGACTTGCCGCTTTCAAAAATCAGCTATGAAAGGAGAAAGAGGCTGACAGCGAGCGCGACCTGAAGACTGCAAAATGGAATTTTGAAAGAAGAGAGGTGCTAACGGCGACCGCGACTTGAAGGCTATAAGCAGAATGGAGGCTGATGAAGGCGAGACAGCTTCAGATCTAGCATTCTGCGATATTGCCATTCAGAGCTGCTTGGACAGGCTGGAACACTGCAAATTCACAAAGATCCTAAACCGCAGGAGGTGTGTTGGCCCTACCTTGCAGCATTTTTGGGAAGGTGTGGGATTCTTGTTAAGGGTTTTTGGTGGCTGGACTTGCCACAGCCAGGCGAAAATTGATGTAAAACTTCATGAAATGATAGTACAGAAAATTCACTGCTGGTATTCTCTGCAGTCAACCTCCTAAGAGTTAGACTGTTTGATAGCCCCACATCATATTGACTGCAATTCACTCACAGGAACTACACCTCAGTAATAACATTGGTGGGGTGTCACTTACTGTATGTATGTACATTGTACTGGCAGCCTTCCCATTAAAATCTGTGTGTCCCCCACAACCAATTTAGAGCCTTTAAACCCAGATTCCTAGCAAAAATCTACACTTTTCAAGTCTAGATCAACCCCTGTGAGGACCCCAGATTGCACAGTGAGTCCTGCACTACCAGAGCTAGTGGTTGTAGCTCCCCATCCAATTCAAATCAAAGTGTATAAAATCTTTGATTCATTGTTTTAAAAAGAACTCTTGACAAAAGCAACAATATTTTTCTGTCTCAATTGTTTTCCCAACCACTGAATGAAAAATGTGTTGGTCTACTCTCCTTTACTGGACAATTATAATTTTTACTACTTGCATGGCAATGGATGACCTAATCCAGGAATGGATATATGAACACGAGCCTCAGAATTTGGATGATATTCTAGGCCCCATCAAGATGTGTCATGGACAATTTCATGATTATAATGTCTCAGACCTGCTCACTCCTCCCACCCCTGCCATCTTTGATGCACCAAAATATTCTCAAGAAAAAACATTGATTCAAGGTTCCATGGCTCAATATGCTGTACCACATGTGCCAGAAGCTTTCCCTGATACTGTGGAAGGTTTTTTGATCATGAAAAATGATAAAAAATCAATTCAAGATGGGAACAAGGAAGTTGTTACACTGAAGCCTTCCACCACCAAACCTCAAATAGCATTTGTTTCTCATATATTTGATGAAACAGAAGAAAACCATGAGAAGGAGATAATAGGATACCATCAAAACTTGATTGAATTGCCCAAAATATCTGAAAACTGTGGTGGTATGAGACCCACACTTGCAATTGTGCCCCCATTTGTAAATTTAAAAGAAAATCACTTTCCATCTTCCTTGCATATTGCAAATAAGTCTCTTTACAAGAAAATGGCTGTATCTAGCATTTTTATGGCAAGGAAACCATTAACAAAAAAGAGGAAAATGTTGGATAAATTTTATTTTGAAGATGAACTTCAAAGCAAATCAAATTTTCAATGCCAAGGGAATGATAAAAGGTCAAAAAAATCAATAGAAAAGTACTCATCAGGTACAGATGTGTATTCTGAAAGTAAAGAACTTTCAAATTTACAGAGTAAACATGGTGTTTATATTCATGATAACCACACAAACTTTGAAAGTGAAATTTGCAGCAGCTGTAATTTTTCCCATTCAGTATCATCCACTGGTGATGGTGCAGAACAAACCAGACTACTTCAATTTAATTCAGGAGTTTTTTATTGTGAACATCCATCAAAACTGGATCAATTGAAAATACAAAAAATTATCTTGATCATTGAAAAGACTCCAGGGCCACAACTACTTATTGATATGAGTAATCCAAAAGGTGCTTATCTTGATTTTCTTTCTTTATGGTATATAAAATCTTTTAAATCAAGAAGTAGAAAGTTAACTTCAGAGGAAAAGAAAGCAAACAAATTTAAATTGAAACAAGATAGGTTGAAATTATTGAAGAAATCCACAGAAACTATCCTGTCAAATAGTGACCTCTGGTTGAGATTCTGGAGAGAGAAATCTGGTATGCAACTTGAAATTGAAGATTTGAAACCTGATCAAAATTTCTCAACTGCAAATGTTAAACAACATTTTATCATTTTTCTATTTTATGTAAATATGATTACATCCATCATTATAAAGCCAGACCAAATAAAATCAGAAGTAAATATTGGTGGATTTCAAAATGAAAATCTAAATTTTATTCAAAATGCTGTTAAACAGTATCAATTGATTCTTCAGCATTTGCTATTTTTTCAAAGTCAGGGCCAAATTCCCAAAAATAAAAATTTTACCTCTATATTGTCTCAAAGTAAAAAAGCTTGTGCAATCAAAAATTTGAGGTTAGTTTGGAGGACAATTCAATTGTGGCTTGAGATGACAGAAAATAAAGAACTGTACAGGATAATTTTCATGCAGGCAGATTGCTGCAGAAAGTCAACACAAGCCTTCTTTGACAGTATCTTCTTTTACTCAATTTCTTCTTTCAATGAAGCAGTTTTGAAATATTACAAAAGTATGTGAAATGAATGTGACTTGAAGCTTCCTTCTTACAAATGAAAATTAAATATCTGTAAATAACTCATGAAAATGCCATTTTTTTGGGCTCTTTGATAGCTTCATCAAACCCATGTGTGTCTACAGGTTGAAAAACCAACAATAACATACATGAGTTGTTTTTTTTGGAGCACCAAACCAATGAATAGATAATTCTTCCAACATTGCTAATGTCTGCATTATCAAACTGTTGAATTTTTTGGTCATCAATCTCTCTTTCTCTCTTCCTCTTTCTTCTCTTTCACATTTTACTCATTCATCACCAGTAGTCTCCCTGACTTCTTATTAAATATGCATAAATCCCTGCTCCTACATCTGGTGCACTTTTTGTATCTAGAATATTTAAGACCCTAGATAATGAGAAATAAGAAAATCATCAGTTCTTTATCCTTTTAAATCGTTCCTGAGGGAGCACTTAAGCCCTTCATTCAGTCTTGTCTGAAAGCACTTTAGCCCTTTCAGCAAGAACTCTAAAAGTACAATTCCCACACGTTTTTGCCTCAATTTCTTCACAAACATATTCCATCACATTTTGCATATGTGCAATAACATTGCATCCCACCATGCAATGTTATTGTGCATGTGCAAAATGTGAGCCAATACTTGCACCCAGTATTGAATTCTATTTTAAATATCTGCATGAATAACATTGCATGGCAGGATGTGATGTTATTGTGCATGTGTAAAATGTGATGGAATTATTTTTTAGTAATGGAGAGGGATCAATTCATGGTTATCCTTTTATCTCAATTAGCCTAAAGATAACATGTCAGATTATGTTTCTTGGTCAAAATCCTTCCCAAAAACTCCTAAGTGACTCTTCAAGATGAATCTTCATGACTCAGAAAGGTGGGCCTAAAGCAAGCCTAGTAGGTACAAAAAAGCCCTCTTCCTGGAACAGAGAGGAAAGAGGAGGGGGGGTCTGCACCTGAGTAAGTGGGTTGAGTTAAGAAATATGGAAGGTGCAGAGTTGAGAAATATCTAAGCTGGGAAAGCAAGTTTGGGGAGTAGTTAGCAGATTGGGAAGATCAAAGCCTGTACATAGTCAGCTCCTGGTTCAAGCTTGGGAAGATGCACCTCTGTGGAGTCCATCCACCTTCTCAGCCTGTCTCAGGGTAGCTCCAATTGGTTGTGCTCTTGGACTTGAGCAGCATCTGTGTTACACTCCTGTTTCCATCAATGCTTTCACACAATGCCCTGCGGCAAACCATACAGAACGCTTGATATTGTCAAACTGGAGCTTACGTAATAACACCTGCCTTCGTGGCTCAGCTGGTTAGAGCGCCGGTCTCATATTCGCCTCCGAGTAACAATGTGATCATCCACCAGGATGAGCCATCCGGAGATCGCCAGTTCGATCCTGGCCGAGGGCATCGCTTTTTGAGCTCCACGACAGAGGTTTTGAACTCCCCGACAGAGGGAACCTGCAATGCTATACAATCGATCGTTCGTTCAGTTGACCGTCCGAGACGGGTGTGAAGATCACGTTGCATTTTTATCATGTTGTGCAGTGGATTTAGTAACGAAGAGGACATATCCAAGGGTGTTTCGATGCGATTTGATTCCAGATCTTGTTCGACCCTTGCTGTCTTTCCATCAGCTTCTGTCTCGATCATCGCATTGGTTACGTGAATGAACGTTTTGTCTAGTTAGGCAGAAAAAGATCTTTTTCAATAATGAAAAGTACATCAGCTTACTGAAGAGATTGATTAAAGGAAATGATGATCATTATGTGAGTGTACTCCGAACAAACAGGAATTGGAAGAAATCACAAACTCAAGACCATCGAAATAAACAAATTGAAGCCAGGCTGAACGCTGTTCCGCTTCCTTTCACCTACTGCCGTCTGAATGAGATAGGAGAATTTGCGTTTGTTAGTCAATCGTGAGGAGCAGAAGGAACCGGCTCTTGGTCTACCAATTTGCAGACCGATCTCATCATGTTACGGAGAGTTCCAAATTGAGGTAGGCACTCTGTACATGTAGATGACTAGATGGGTATAGCACTAGCAGATCCCTCAGAACCCTCCCAGTAAATACAAGTGAGTGATAGGAAACCGTGATGTAACAGATACAGCTATTTTGGAAAGGGTTGTCCAGTTGTCTTGCAATTTTTTTTTTTAATTTTTAATTTTTTCTTTGTACTGAACTACAGCCAAGTAGGTACAGCTGTCATCACTAGTTCAGTTCTGACAGGTCCAGTTCAGTAAAAAATAAAAAATAAAAAAAATAAAAAATAAAAAAGAATTCTCGAGTCCACGTGGACAAGACTTCCCGAAATAGTTGTAGGGTCTTGGCTAATCGACTCCCAAACCCCAAAAAACCCCGAAAAATCCACCGATCTCCCCCGGAAATGGGAGTCGATCCCCCAAACCCGTCAGTGGGTTTGGGAGTCGAATCCCCATAAAATTTATTCAAAAATACCAACCCCCGAAGGGGGTGGGAGTCGCTAACCCAAAACCCAAGTGGTTTTGGGTGTTGGCTAACTGAAAAGAGCCTGCAGTGGCCGGGAGGATTCCTCCCGGCCGTTGGCTGATGGCACACCCTTGACGGCGGAGAGACCCTCCCGGCTGTTGAGGATGTACACTTTCCACGGCCGGGAGAAAACCTCTCGGCCGTTGAGAGTGTACACCCTCAGCGGTCGAGAGAAAACCTCTCGGCCGTTGAAAGTGTAAACTCTCAACGACCAAGAGTGTTCCTCTTGGCTGTCGAGAGTGTACACTCTCGGCTGTCGAGAGTGTACACTCTCGGAATCCGTCCTGTTTAACTTTTTATCAGAAGAGAGAAAAAAACAAGTGTCGGAGATGTTAATCGGATGATTGGAATTGGATAGAAACCAGCTGTTAAGCCTGGAAACCTTCCTCCTCAAGCATTGCTGTTAGTATCCTTCAATCAATCCCAACATTGGAGACGCGTCTCGTTAATACTCCACTCGTCTTTTTTCCCCTTTTCAAAAAGAAGTTATAATAGGGCCGCTGTCGATCGTTTAGAAGCACGCAAGAAACAGCACGCTCAGGAGAAGAAAACCTTGAATCAACAGATGAAGATTGGGTTTGATTTACTCAGACAGAATATCAATATGATGGATTTCGAGGTCAGTCTATGTCTCACTCAAGATACTATCCCCAGCACAAACAAAAAACATCACCCGAGAGTGTTCCTCTCGGTTGTCAAGAGTGTACACTCTCGACAGCCGAGAGGAACACTCTCGGTCGTTGAAGGTGTAGAGAGTGTTCCTCGCGGCTGTTGAGAGTGTACACTCTCAACAGCCGAGAGGAACACTCTCGGTCGTTGAGAGTTTACACTTTCAATGGCCGAGACTCTCGGCCGAGAGGTTTTCTCTCGGCCGTTGAGGGTGTACACTCTCAACAGCCAAGAGGTTTTCTCCTGGCCGTGGAAAGTGTACATCCTCAACAGCCGGGAGGGTCTCTCCGCCGTCAAGGGTGTGCCATCAGCCAGCGGCCGGGAGGAATCCTCCCGGCCACTGCAGGCTCTTTTCAGTTAACCGACCGCCAAAACCACTTGGGGTTTTGGGTTAGCGACTCCCACCCCCTTCGGGGGTGGGTATTTTTTTGAATAAATTTTATGGGGATTCGACTCCCAAACCCACTGACGGGTTTTGGGGGGATCGACTCCCATTTCCGGGGGAGATCGGGTGGATTTTTCGGGGTTTTTGGGGGTTTGGGAGTCGACTCTCCAATTTTTGGGGAGCCGATTAGCCAAGACCCTAACAGATATTGCCCCACTTTGGGACCCCTAAGTTAAACTTGGAGGAACAACTCCCAAAATAACCGGGACAAGAACGTTTGTCCCCACGACTGTTGCAGCATGTCTGTTGGCAGTCTTTCAGATGTTGAATGATTTTGGGAGTTGCTTAATTCTCCAAAAGTCAGGAGTAATTTGGCCAGCTGCTAAAGTGGATGTTTAGACAATGTTTCAGGCTTGATTGAGTGGAACTAGATAACCATCAGGAAGAATTCCTTTCCTTGGAATAGCATATGGAAGTTCTCAGTTAAATATCACACATTATCATTTTGGCAAACATCCATCCAACAGAGGATAGTTAATTATTATAGATGATTTTTGAACTAAAATATCCAAAGTGAATTTTCACCCATCCTCAGAGTCAACTGAGTCATCTTCCTATCATAATAAAGAATACAAACCAAACCTGGAAAAAAGTAAAAAGGCATGATAGAAAAAAATTAGTTGACTGATTCAGAAAGAAGCCAAGATGAAAATAAAAAGGACTGCTTGACTTATGTTCACAAGGAGCCAATGAAAGCCAATCTGTGTCCCACAAGTTGCTCAATTGTTGGCTCTGGGAATCAGTAATCAGCTTTGTCTGCTCATTGATATCCATAAATGAAGTTCCATCATGATCTGCAGTGCATTTTGACAGTCCAAAATGTAGTCACTTTTGCCCCAAAAAGGGTCCTTATTTCCACCTTTTTTGCAAGGATTTGATACTAATCAACTCACCTGAGAATTGACCTTGATGACAAACTAAGAAATGTGCAGAAGTTTGAACCACAATCCCGGTAATAATGTTGGCATGGGTCCAGCAACTGGGTGGATATCCATAATTGATTTGTCCACATAGACCTTTCACTGTTTGCTTCTTTTATATGGTGGTACAAATTGAATATGGAAATGTTGGTATAAGAATATAGAAGAATAAAAAGCAAGATTTGGCAGGGAGCTGTCAGCATACTTAAAACTCAAATTGACAGGTCCCAGCCAAATTTTCAGAGTATGTTGTTAAGGAGTGTTAAGTAACAATTTAGATATTCAATTTTGAACACCATATTTTTTTGGACTCTTGTATGTTGATGTTGATGGTCAGCTGATTAACATCCTCAGCAAGACCAACAAGGGTGAGTAAATTCCCCAATCAAATGTGCATCAAGATTGACTCAATACAGCATGATACTGGGAAAAGCACCACATCTGACAAAAAGGATGGTCAGGAAATCCTTTTAGGTTGATTTAGAAGGACTGGCTGACACACACTAAGAGAGAACACCTTTCCATGGAACAAAATAAGGGATTGCTCAGATTCTGGAAAATACTTTTTAAAAGGGGATCATTGATTTCTGAACATGGTACTCCAGGTAAAATATCCAAATTAAATTAAGTCCCATTCATCCAAGGTCAATTGATTCTCATTGCTTACAAAATTAAGAACATGAACCCAATCTTCAGATATTTCCAAAGAAAATGAAAAGAAAACGTAAAAAGAAAAGAAAACTTTACAAAGTTGAATCATTCATAAAGAAGACCAAAAAAGATGATTTATCACATTTCAAATATATTTTTGTTCTCCAGAAATTCTTCTCCCAAGATTTGTAATAGAATAAGAAAAAACTGCATGAAAAAAGTGTGAAGATTTTTTCTTGGTGTGAGTATTTTGAAATAAGATATCATATATCTCTTTTTCTGTTTCTTGCTTGAGCCACCCCTCAACTTCAAGCCAAACTGCATCCAAGAATGTTTGTTTTCCAACTGGCAATGTTGCACCAGGGAGCAAGTGAGCATAATAGCATTTATAGTTTTTGGCAGCCCTTTGTATGATGTCTCTATTATCATTTGGTAAGGGATCCTTTCCATTTGGATGGTCATTTTGCACAAGTATGGAGCTAATCATATCTGCATAAAACAAAAACAAAAGAAAGTGTGCCTCAAGGCTGTCTATTTTGATTCTTTTGAAGTGGTATATGTTGAGATCTTTTGATTCTACTCCAGATTTCTCTTTGTAAAATTTGGACCAGGACTCTCTTTTCAAAGAAAATTCTTTGAATGCTTTATTCAACAAGCTATTTTTCCTTTCCCTCCTCTTCTTGTATGATTCTTTGTCTGTTGAGTAATATCTATCTGTTTGGGTATTACCACGTCCCATTGCTCTTTTGAACATTTCACACGTGTCCTCTGGGCTGTTGATATTGATTTTCAATACATTCTTTTGGAAATTTCCAATCAAAGAAGTGATTTTTTTAATTCTAAATGTATCAAGAGATGAAGGGTCCTCAATTTTAAAGACACTTCTATCAAATTTGAGTGTTCTGAGTGGGCTTTCAAGACCTGATGTTGGCTTCTTAGAATGAGATTCAGAAAATCGGTATTCTGATGGATTTGAATTTGTAGCATATTGAACCAATGAATCTTTTTGAAGTTGATTGTTACCATCCAGTTGAGTGGAATTCTTCTTTCTTCTTTTGGGATCACTATTTTCAAGACGGTCCTCCAATAGTACTGAAATATGATCATAATAAGATGAAAACCCATCATTACTAAAGCAAGAAGGGGGAGAAACCTTTGCTTGTTCATTGTCAGAAGTTGGAGAGTCAATCATTGAACTTTTTGAGGTCTTATATATGTTTCTGGGAAAGATTTCTTCAAACTTGACAAAGTTCTGGTTAGGGGGCATTGTTTCTTGATGTAGTGCCACTTCATGGTGTGGTACAAACCCATCATTCAACCGAGTTGGTGGAATTTGTGATGATGATGATGGTGGGCCAGTGTTGTTATTTTCCAGAAATGTTACCCAAGGTTCCTCTATTTCTTCCCAAGACTTCATGAGCTGAAACATATCATTATTACACACAGAGAAAAAAGTGTCCCAAGGATCAGGAAGGTCAGCAGCTGCTTGGAAGCTGTCATGGTGATCCATGGTATTCAAAAGGGAATTGGGATCATGTGATGTGTGCTCTTCATTTAATCTTGGGATGGAGCCAGATGAGAAAGGAGGAGTCACCGTCATCATTGGGATGTCGGAATGAGAAGCTTGAACTTGAAAAGTTCCGATGGGACCAAGAATGTCATCTAACTTGGGTGGCAAATCCCCCTGAATGCAATGATATGTATCTACAGCATTACATCTATATAGCAGTGCTAAACCCGCGAGGGGAGCGAACCAAAGCATGATTGATTTGTGCGGAAGATGGAAATGAGGTCTTGATGTTCCCTTTTGCAACACAAGCGGGGGACTCATGGGTGTAGTCGGACGCCGTAGTAAGACACCTATTCATATTCAGCAGAGGGGAAATTTGCGTCGTTCAGCAACGACGGAGACATTTAAACGTTTTCTGAAACAACGGCGACAATTTACCATGTTCAACTGTCCCAATCGTCTGTTGAGATGTTGGTATGTAGGGCAGCTTTTCCATCTTACGGATTCGCAACTTGTTGCAGTCCTTGCCCATTTCTCCAGGATGATTCACCTCTGAAGTTGATACTCATACTTATAAGAGGAAAGGGAGGTTCTGGTGCTTGAGCGATGATTACAAAAGCAGTCAAACGTGTCTTGAAAGCGCCCTTAGAGCTGCTTTTGCACCACTAACTGCGGATTGTGTGATGTTGGAATGAAGTGCAGGTTTCTGATTTTGTGCAACTTGTGCCAATTACTGGTCAATTTGCCAGGATTGCCGGAGAGCAGCGTTTCCAATCCAAGAAATTAAAAAACTACGAAATCCTGATAGCTGTGCCAGACCTTGCTAGCAAAACGTTTCCTTGGTTATCAAGAAAAGCTTCTTGCTCTCATCTCTACTGGAGCTAAGCATTTACGTGATGACAAGCCATTACATTTTCAAGTGACCAGGGCCTTTTATGTTTAACAAGGCTACAATGATAAAGAGCGGGCCAGTATTGGACAACCAGACTCAGGGCCGGGGAGCTCACAATCTTACTCAGACACGTGCAAGAATACTGAAACTGAAATTGGGTCGTGTAAGACCAAAGGTTTAGGTATTTTAAGACAAACTTATCGATAGACCAAAGGGGTGGTAACTCGTAGTTCTAAGTCGCGTATTGAGTATCAAGTGCATAATTGGAATTGAAATGGCGAGATGCTATTTTAGCAGTATTATTTCTCTTCCTTCTCTCCAATATAAAAGGTGAATAACGATAAAGTATGAGCAACCAGATTCAATTTGATCTGCAAAGACATCATAACAGGCCAAAAAGAAGGTCATATTCAAGAAGAAAGTCTCCATCTCCCACCGCAATGCCAACAACAGATGGATGAATCCAGCAAGACCTGAACCAACGAAGGCTTGCCCAGCCGACCGACATCCGCATCCTCCTGCTGAGTAGAAGTTGAAGGATGTTGATGATCACCAGTCTCCATTTGAGCCCCTTCTTGACTGGCCTCAGGAGGTCGACTGGTCGTCTGATCCTCGCCACCACCTTTTACCATCGATTTTCTCCCGCAGCCGGTACAGATCCTCACTTTAATCGTCGATAAGATTTGAAAGGTGACTGAGCATCGGTCTTGTAAAAAAAGGAAAAATAATTGAAAAAAACAGAGGATTGGATCAATTGGCTGGCAGGCTTGAACATAGAATGAGAGTTATACGGGAAAAAATGAGTGTACCCCAAACATGGCCAACGCGACAGATCGCAAATCGCAGACTATCAAAACAAACAGATTGAAGACAAGCGGGACACTGCTCCACTTCGTTTTCTTCTCCTCCGAACGAGATCAGAGGATTTCCATTGCCCAGTGAATCATCAGGGGCCGATGAAAGCCGATCTTGGTCTAACAGCTTGTGGTCGACCTCATCAGGTTCCAAAAGTTGCTCGATTGTTGGCTCTGGGAACCGGTCAATAGCTTTGGTCGCACATTGATATCGATTGAAAACTGGCCTTTCATCGCCTACAGCGTAGTTTCACATTTAAAAACAAAAATTTAGCTATCTCTTTCAAAAAGTGTGTTTTTCTTCTCATCTGCTCGTTAAAATTATTGATGATGCTAATCCTAAGCTACTCACTCGAAAGTTGCCCTACATGTCGAAGAAAGAACTGCGCAATGGTTTGCAAGACCAGGCGATGGATGACTCGTGAGAGAGAGACTTTGGCCTCAACGAGCCGAGATCTCAATGAGGGGAATTTAGCTTTATCGGCGCGACCCTATCAACGTCAAGATCCAAGAATCCAACAATGTCAAAGTCAAGCTACTTGCCAGGATGAAAAATGGAAAGAGAATTACCAGCAAAAAGTTACAAAGGTTGACCTTCAAGCGAAGGTGGTCAAGATTGAGATTATAGAAGAGTTGGTTAATTAGTTGACTTTTCAAGGCCATAGACGTCGTCCCTCCATCATAGTTTAGAATGGGTTGATGGTCCGGTAGCGCGAAGTAAGCAGTTTCTGTTCCCAGTGGAAGCAAATCAACCAAATTCGAAAGAGTGGAGTTGAGGAGATCGAAAGACGGAGATTCCCGAGACCCAGGATCAGAGAAAATCGAGTGGAGGATGTTGAAAATGTTCAACAGTTTTGAAGAAGGCGACACTAAGATGGCTGTACAAGAAATACATCCCAGGAGTTATTAACTCATTAAAACATCCAAAATAAAACATAGAAATTATAGTTTGAATAACCAACACGAAGCCGATTTGGAAAGCATGGCCGGCAATATCGCAGTGATTTGATTCTCGAGCATCCCTAGTAGCTGCACCCTCCTTTGGACCGATCCAACCGGATTGAAATATGCTAAACAAAACTGGAGAATTTGGTGGTTCTCCGGTTTGTAGCGAAACTTGTTGGGGGCGTCGATTCTACAAGGCAGTTGGAAGAAAGAAATACTTAGTATCACAAATTAAAAGAAACTATTCTGAAAGCGTAAAGGCTTACTCGTACAACCAACTCATGATGCAGCTGCTCAGTAGAGAAATCGGATCGATTGAATGGAGCTGCTGGTGGTCACCTGAGACATGTTGTAGACCACTGAGAACATGTGATCCATAGACACTCATGACGTTCTGCTTGGTGATCGGCGTGCTGTTGGGTGGAGGGTGGGCAGAATAGCCGATCGCGCGAAACTTGGCTCGAAAGTCTAGTGAAAGTTGCACGGAATGTGCCAAGTCGAGCTCGAGTGGGTTGGCCATAGCCGAAGATGATGATGACGGGTTGGGATCTAAAGATTCCCTCAAAACGAATATCAAGCCGTTCGAAAGCATCGCTATGATTTGCGTAATCCCAGGTAAACTTGTTGGGATGATACTCATTCCTGTTCCTCAAATAAGGAGGTACAGTTAGCATATTCAGTCTCTATCCGAAGCAAAAACATCAAACAAGATCCTCAAAAGTGTCACTTGAAAAACAAACAAATCAAAGAGGGGGAGAAAATTGAGGAAAATGTAAGGTCTACCTGAACATGTTGCCCAGCTGTTGCAGTCCGCCCAACACAAGCGATCGTCATGAGGTTGCAAGACAGGCAATTGAATCACCTGAGTGGGTCCGAGGAACAATCCAGACTGAGAATCACTCTGGCCTTCAGTAGAAGTCGAAGACAACGGAACAAGAACGATCTCGCCCAACCGACTGATGATCAATCTCGACAGCTATCATGCGGGTGATTCAGAAGAGAGAGGTAGACTAAGATTAGCCCGTGCAAGTGAGAGTAAAAAGGCCGTTTCACCAGTATTGGCGCACAGTATTCCCAGAGGGAGGTAACCATTTGAAGTAGGTGATCGATGATTGGTTCAGTGGGTCCTGGTATATCCCTATGATCTGTATCTCCATCCGGGAAATGGGAGAGACTGGCTTCGTCGGTCTCTCGAACGGTCGACAGACTTGCATGAGATAAACTACCCCTTTCGAATTAGCCACTGCTAGATGGGCAGTTAACTGGTACTGCTGTGCCGATGTATCGTCTAATTCATTATTAAAAAAGTAATTAAAAAAAGTCAATTCGTAAGCGGCACATTGAGAAGCGATAGAAATCAACCGATAAGAAGGAAATGAGCAGAGGAGGACTCTTAAAGTTTACCAACTCTTCGCCTAGCGCTCAATTTCCAATCTGACCACGATAGCAAGTTGAGAGTCCGGCCGTCGGAGCAAATTGGGTTAAAGGACTCAAGCTCCATGTGTCCTTTGGATGTGTGTCTATAAAGAATGGATATAGACACGTGCTTGTGAGTCAGTTATTTTGCTCGCCCTTGTGCAATGAATTTAAGGGATAGGTTGATCTTTGGATGAAGGAGCCAACCTCCACAGAGATAGATCCCCTCTTCTGTGGCCTACCGCAAGCAGCGAAAAATCGACATCATATAAATCGTCATGCTGATTCAAGACGGGTGTGTCGCAGTTGGAATGTGAATAGGCAGGCGACCAGGCAATACCTGTTCATGATTAAGCAGAAGGAGATTCCTGGCGAAATATAAACATTTGGAATTCTGGATTGTTTGAACGTAGGTAGAGGAATGAGTCACTCAACAAGTGGCTTGAGTTCTGAGAACGCCCGCAGTAAATCTGCTTCGTTTCTCCTCTCCCTCTTCCGATATGTCCCATGCAGTCTCTGGACTGACATCAATTGACTTCGTCGGGTCCTCTTGATGGCCAATGATAGATGGATAAAAATCGTAAAAGATTGTCAACAATTCTTCGGAGAGGTTTAGCGTTTCTTTCTGTTTCACATAATTTTTGACGATCATTTATATCCATCAGATCAGCGGTGGTTGGAACGGTTTGTTGAGATTGCGGACGTGGCACGTTGTGCGTTGGGAAAATGAACAGGTAGGAAATTCAGTCAGTTATTTTGATTGAACAAGGGATAAAAGCTGAAGTATCGACTGACGATTGCCCACAATCCAGCTTGGTAATTCTGACAGGGTGAATATACAAAGACATCGCAAGTGGTAGACAATCCAGCAAGCAAGCACCTGCTCGCCGCGATAAAAACAAAAGACAAAATAAAATGAATGAATAAATTTGGATCAGTTTGGCATTTCCAAAAAGTCAATCGGAGTGTTTTGAGGGGTGGGCTTCGGAAAAGAATATTCGATTAAGTACTGACGATCCCAAGGCTGATAAGCCACTAGGAGACCAGGTAGCTGCTCGCCAGAATCGATCATCATTAGGCGGTGTGATGGTCGATATATCTACAAGTTGCGTATCATGAAGTAAACCGTCGTAAATTAGATTTTCAGCCATGGAGTTTTTTGATTGAGCAGTATAATAAATTACGAGCGATTACCATTAGAGTGGGTTGACCAATTAACGCCAAGTTGTTTATTGATCTCGATAATCGTCGTAAAGAATGGTATCTTAGGCTGACCACCGGCCGATTTTGTAGTCGAGTCTGCTATTGATTCTTGTATGCCCGAAGGATTAGATCTTGAAGGCGTAGATGGAGCGTCTTGCGAATGAGAGCCATTCTCAGTGGGTTGGGCTTGTGTATGCGTATGACGGTCTTCCGGAGAAACCAAGTATCCGAGAATGGGTGTCTGGAAAAACCACAAAAACAAATAATACTCTTCCAAGTTAGCGGCTATCCTTCTTTTCGTGGAAGATATTGGCGTGAGTCTTACATACCAAGAGGTATATGTTCGCCTTGGTGACTGCAAAGGCTTGGCCGTCGTTCGACCATTCCAAACATGAAGGGGAGCTATCGATCGGGAGGGTTTGGAGGATGTCCGCATGTCCATAGCTCGAGTCCGTCGGCTTGGGCAGGTCGATGGGTTGTGTTGTTTGTCCAGCTGCCGTATCTGAGCTCATGTCATCGGTATCCTTATATCGTTCCGGTTCGGTTTCGTGCACATCTCCTCCCCGGCCCACACTCAAACGATCTTCGTCACAAAACTCCGACAACCGACAACGCGCATACATGCACATCCATGAGCAAACCCTTGCAATTCAAACACTCACCTCCATTTCTTCCTTTAAGCCGCAAATAAGTACTACCAGTGAAGCCCAACTGGATCACGACGCTCACTACATACCCAAGTCCCTAGTCCATGACTACCAAAAATCATTCCCCGCGTCAGAATCGCCAGGAGCATCCCATCCTGATCGGCCAATCACGCATGACGCCATTCAGATCAGTCTGGCATTCATGAGGCAACAGTGGAGGACTTCCTTCAGATCTGAAACTCTCCCGGTTTCTGATTTAAACCCGAAAAGTCTAGGTTTTCGCACGGAAATCTAGCTTTCGAGGCTCTACATCAAAACTGGGGGACCCGCAGAAGTCGTCCAGTTGCTTCATATGCCCTTTGCTATCCGGCACATCGCTTTGATTATACATTAGTTTGATCAATGGTGATAGGAGAATGTGCCTACAACATTGTGCTTTGTATCTACGGTTCTTAAGAAATCCATGGATAGGGTGATGCCAAATTTTACATGGCCCTCTTTACGAAGTGCCTTGTAAAAGGTACATCATAAAAGTCTCATTTTCCCTGGGACAATTCACATCTGAATTTTTTACTCATCTCATTTTCACCAGGACAATTCATATCTGAATTCTTTGGACAGACAGCAGACCCACTGAAGGTTGATTTGGTTAAAGATTCACTGTATATACCAAACCAGCTAGCACAATTCTTATTTGAAATGGACATGAATTTATCAAATTGTGCAGCAACTGATTTGGTGCGGCCTACATGGGGTACATGTATGTGATAAGACATTCAGTGGTCAGCTAGTGTTAATCTGAAAGATGGCAATCAAAAATCTTTGTATTCTTCAGAAATTCTTTGACTTAGACTAGTGGCTGAGTAGAGAAAAATTATATCAAAAAATGGGGCAGAGTTATTTTTAGGGTAGAGATTAGTAGTTCCAAGCATAATTTTATAAAGATTACTTTCTTGATCACATTTCAGAAAATTTTTGATGATAATCCAAATAATTTTGAAAAATTTGTCTTGGACAAATGGAATTTTTGGACCATCAGATATTTGAAGTGCACTCTCCTTTTCAAAAACACCCAAATGTTGAAGATATAATTTGTACTGCTCTACAGCATTTCTGAAGAAATCTCTGCTTACATTTGATTCTGTTTTATCTTTATCCACAATGATGGAGGTGATCATTGTTATGTAGAACATAAAAAGAGAAAAATGTTTCTTTGCATACAACTTGCCCATTCTTCCTTTAATTTTCAAATCCAAATCTTCAAATCTTATGCCAAATTTGTCTTTGTAAAATTTGTCCCAGGATTCTCCATGAGACCAATATGCTTGAGTTGATTTGAATATCACATCATTTTTCATTTTCTTACGTAGACAGTCCATTGCCTCAAAACTATCAACTGGATGTTCTTCTTTCCATATTAATCTGGTACCACGAGTCACAATCCTCTTGAACTTTCTGTATGCCTCTTCTGGTTCACTTGCATCAATAGGGGGGTTCACGATAGCTTTTTTGGCTTATGGTCCCCCTTAAAAAAATTCTTGCTGGTCATGTTTTTAGCCTAAAATTTAGCCTAAAAAGCATGACAAGATCAATGACCAGCATCCATAAATCCTGCTGGTCATCAACCAATGGGCATACTCACTAGCATGAATATTGGTCATCAATAGTGTACAACCATCAATCATCACCATCCCATCCATCAATGACCGACTTGCCATCTTCATCCGGACCGGTTGACTCCATCAATCACCAACTGGTCATCCCATTGAGGACCGGTTCTGACCAGTCAACACCATCAATGGCCGACCCAAAATGGTGATGACCGGTCAGAACGGACAGGTCAACTCCATCAATGACCAACCGGTCATCACACTAGTCATCACCATCGATGAGTGACCGGTCATCACCATCAATGAGTGACCGGTCAACCGGTCATCACCATTGATGAGTAAACCACAGTTGATGAGTGACCAGTCATCACCATTGATGAGTGACGGTCATCACCATTGATGAGTGACAGTCATCGCCATTGATGAGTGACCGATCATCACCATTGAAGACCGATTCAATGGCTGACCTCACCATTGATGATAGACCGGTCAACTCTATCAATGACCAACCGGTCATCACCATTGATGAGTGATGACTGGTTCTGATTGGTCAACACCATTGATGGCCGACCCCAAATGGTGATGACTGGTGGGTCATCACCATCTCTAGTGTTCTGTTGCAGCTGATTGGGGGTGATCTGCAAAGTGCTGGAGTGGTGATGTGGAACTTAGCGATTGCCAACACGTTCACGATGGCAGCAGTTCTGGTGAGACTTTTCTGGTGTGTTAAAAATTGACTAAAATTTTAACCTGCGCAGCATTCGAAACCTTTCTGGTGGGAGAATAAAAAATTTCTGGTGAAAAGCTATCGTGAACCCCCCTAATGTGTATTGGATTTTTTGAACCAAATCCACAGAAGGCGGATTTTATCTTGGAAATTCTAGATGCATCAATGGGAGATGGATCTTCAATGTATAGCAGTCCCAAGTCAAATTTGAGTTTTGGGATTGATCTTTCAGAATTGATAGAGTCTGAATTTATGTGATAAATAGGTTCAAAACTATTTTTGCATTTGAGGTGATTTGATTGCTCCTCCCTTGAATTTAAGTTCTTATCATGTTCCGCCTTTTCTTGATTTGATTCCGTTGCAGAGCATATGAAAGAGTGACATATACTCTGCATTGGGGGATCCACTTTTTCTGAAATGTGTGAGCTGGAAACATCTGTGCTTCTCCCCTGATATAATTGCTCAAATTTTGCCTTCAAATTTTCCCAGGAATCTGATATCCCAACCAAATTTTGATCCTCTTTGAACAAGTTGTCCTCCTCAGCATGAAGAAGCTTGCTATTTTCATGGGCAAGTGAATTATGTCCCATGATAGATATAGCCAAATTTGGATTGTCTGATGAGGTCAGTTTTCCTGAATTCAAATTTGTGCTAGCTTCCAAAAATGAAAATGGTTTATCCTCATGATTTTCACTCTTTGCAAGGCTAACTCTTCTTCTTTTTGATTGCCCATCAGTAGCATGATTCCCAAACCTTGATCTGTTTTTAGAGTTGAAACTAAGCAAAAAATCATTTGTGCTAAACGTTTTGTAGAACTGAGTTGTTGAAGGTGATGGGCCTATCACATCATTACTTGCTGGATTATGTGGAATCTCGGTCAAGTGTTTATCATAGTTTAAGGATTCCATATTTCTTTCTAATTCCCCAAATCTAAAAAACGGTTTTTCAATTTGATTTTGGTTTGGTGTTAGAGAGGAGACAACTTTTTTGTTTTTATCTTGAACTGTGTGCAAATCAACCTCCAATTCTCTCCAGGAATTTATCATACCAGGTAAATGTTGATCGTTTTCAGGATACAACACTTCCCAAGTATTAGGCTGAGGATTACTAGATGATTCATTTTGTGCATTTTTTGTGCTTATAACTGCATTTCTAGTAGGATCATTTAAAAATTTGATCCAATCTTCATCATAGACCAATTTACTTTTTTTGATTTCTGATTCTTGAACAGGAAGGAAGTTCTTTTCTGTGTCAATTTGGCAAGGTGTGTTCAATGATGATGATGAGAAGGAAGTATTTTGGTTTTCCTCTTGATATGAATCCAAAGTGCTGTCCAATCTCCTCCAAGAATCTAGGAGTTCAGATATGTTGCTATCATGTTCAGACCAAAAACCATCCCATAAAGTCAAATTGGGTTCACTTGATACATGTGGGGTGATGTGTTTTGAATCCATTGTACTTGGCAGATAATTTAAGTCCTTTTCTGGAAGTGGTTTTCCTAATCCATGGGTAGAGCTAGATGCAAATGTGGTCATTGTTGTTTCTGAAATGGGCCTTGGAATATCTGTGGGGGTTGGCTCTCTGTAGCCAACCACATGACTCCAATCAAAATCATCTAAAGTTGCATTGCAAGTGCTTGTAAGTTCCAAAAGCCCACTTAGAAAAAAGTGCCAACACTGCTTCATTGTTTTCTGCTTATCAATTTGAGAGTCCAGTGCAGTTGCTTGAATGTCAATGTAGTTGAAAGATATTGGTTGGGACCCTTTTCTGGTTCAGCAAAGAAAGGTGCCTAAATATTTTCAATGAAGCAATGAAAATTTTGGTTTGTAGGAACTGTGTAGTAAAGACCCAAAATCAGCTTCAAATTTGTATTGATTTTGGTGGTGTAGAAACATGTTGACTTGAATGCTTCATTGTACAACTTATAAGTGGCTAATGTGAATTTGAAGATTGGCTTTCTGATTATATCATATATGGATTTGTAACTTGTCCCAGTTCTTGTCAAAGATTATCTCAATGGGACTATGAAAAACTATGCTAGAAGCTTAAACAACATGCTGAATTGTAAGAGCAATGTTTTTCAGAATCAGTATCAAAAACATGTGACCAGAAATGAAAGGCAAAGCTTGCCAACATTCTTTTGGTTCAGGGCTTATCTCCAGTCAATGATTGGTTTTCCAACCTTTGGATAGATGCAAGCTGCCAACCCAGAGCTTGAGGCTCTGTTGAAAAGGGCAAAGATTGCTAGATTGAGAATTACACTAGGAACCCCAGAATATTCATTTAGCAGGAAATCTGGAGATAGTAGCAGGGTTCACAATAGTGTTTTATGATTCTTGAACCCGTTATTTTTTTCTTGCTTGCGCATTGCTGACATTGAATTTCTCAGCAAAAATTTGAACTTTCACACTAATTTTTTGGTCCACAGCAGTGCTGCGGCTTCTTGCAAGAACTAAGAGAAGCTATGGTGAACCCTGCTACTTAGTGACACAAGTGAGGATGTATCTGAAGTGGAAGAGGAAAGAGGCAGATATTTTGTCTCTTCTTGGATTTTTTTGAAGCATGGAAATGAACAGGAGAAAGCAAAAATAAAATGGGAAGCTCCACATAAGAATTGGACAAATTCCTGCCAAATGTGGATCCCCTTTAGATATCAATTTGGACCTGAAAAGTCTAGATTGTGGTCATGTGGTAATTTGAAGATTGTATACCATTTCAGAGGAGCCTATCACCCTCCAGGTCAGTTTTGAGGATAGTTTTGGAAGGGAAGAAGGATGTTGCCTTTCTTGGTTTTGATAAAACTCTTGGGAATGATGAGATGTGAGCAATCATGTTCAAAGAAGATCCGCCAAGCAGGCCAAGGGTGGAAAGAGTCGGATCGAGTACGGGTTTGGTGATTATCGGATGTCGTCATGGTTGAAATCAGCTGGTGAGTTGAAAAAAAAAACACCACTCGATGGTCAACAAGAACGGTCAACAGGAACTTCCAACATGAACCAACTCAGAACAACAACAAGACTCACATCACTCATCTCACCATCAACAACGAGAAGACTGCAACCACCGCGACTGGCGATAGCAAAAGAGTGCTTCAGACCAACCATCCAGAATACCAATCGAACACTCTTCACATCGACCCAAACAATAACAACACTACCCACAAGGCTAATCAACCTCTCTAAAGTCGTCCTCCTGATCGGATCCTTGATCGGTTCATATGCCTACCTGACAGATACCAGGGCTACGGCCCATTCCTGGCTGACGGTTCCGATCATCAAGTTCATCACGCACGATGACCCAGAGGAAGCCCATCATCTAGCAATCAAGATCCTCAAACTACTCTCCAAAATTCAGCTGATCAGGGATGTCCCACAGCCCCACGACGAACTTTTATCATTTGAGGTCTGTCTTACACTCTCTTCCTTCAGTGCTCAAGAAATTAACATTTTCGGGGTTTTTTTCTTTTGGATTCAGCTATGGGGTAAAAAGTTTAACAATCCGATCGGAATGGCCGCTGGATTCGACAAAGATGGCGATGCATTGGATGGCTTATTCGATATCGGATTTGGATATGTCGAGATTGGATCGATCACTCCCGAACCACAAGTTGAGTTTTTAAAAATAAAAAATAATAATAATTAAAAAAGCCGATCGTAAAGGGAAAATCCGAGTCGACTCTGATGATAAAATACATGGCTGGAAAAAATTGACAGCCAGGAAATCCGAAGCCGAGAATGTTCCGGATTCCATCAACAGAGGCGATTGTCAATCGGTACGGGTTTAACTCGGAAGGCCACTTGGCCGTACTCTCCAAACTCCGACATCGACTGCTCAGCTATCTGGATCAACACCGACATCTAGGCTACTCCACGCTCCTGTCACGGTATGACAACATGAATCCGGTTCAAACGGCGTATGCCGACAGCGGCTTTACCCATCTAGTCCTGCCCACATCCTCGGCATCATTAGAGACAGAGACGGGGTCATTGGACCAAGCATTGGGCGAGATTGCGGACGAGATCGAGCTCCCACGCTCATTAAGAGTCGGGCAGGTGCTCGCGATCAACCTGGGCAAGAACAAGAATTCTCCGGCTGAGTCGGTCGAAGACTTCCGGCTAGGGGTCGAACGTTTCGGCAGTCTTGCTGACGTTCTCGTCGTCAATGTCTCCTCACCCAACACGCCCGGCCTGCGTGGCCTCCAATCTAAAGACGCCTTCGACCGCCTCCTCTCCGATGTTGTCCGTGCCCGCGACCAGCTTCCCTCTACTACCAATTCCAAACCCAATCGTCCCGCCGTCCTCGTCAAGATCGCCCCCGACCTCTCTGTACAGGAATTGGTCGACATCGGCACGGTCGCAAAGCAGGCCAAAGTCGACGGGATTATCATCAGTAATACAACAACTAGTCGACCGGCAGGCTCGGGTACCGGTAAGCAATATTCCTCCTAGTCTATGGACTACCGATGGTTTAAGTCTGACGTGGGACTGCAATTTGGAAAACGCAGAGCCGGGAATCAAAGAGACGGGCGGCTTATCGGGACCACCTTTGAAGCCATTGGCGCTGAAAGCTCTATCGATCGTCTACGCGGCGACGGAGGGGGCAATACCCTTAGTAGGGTGCGGGGGAATCAAGGCAGCAGAGGATGTTTTGGAGTATGGGCGAGCGGGAGCGAGCTTTGTACAGCTATACAGTGCACTGACTTACCAGGGCATCGGTCTTCCCCGGACACTCAAGGACCGTCTCGCAGAGCTCCTAAGGACTCAAGAGGATGGCAAAAACTGGAGCCAGATTGTCGGCTCTCAAGCTCAGAAAATCGACCTCCAACAACTCATTCAAGACGAGCTCAAGCAGATCAAGACGGCCTCCTATGAGGATCAAGTCAAGGAGATCAAACAGACTATTGAGTTCATCGACCAGAGTCTTGCTCGCTTCTCTACCCAAGATCTTCCCATCACTCCTCCCGTCCTTAAGCATGCTCCTGAAGTTAAGGAGCGCCCGCTTCCTGCTGCTGCCGCTCTGTCAAATTCTCCTGCTCCTGTTCCTCCTCCTCAAATCACACCGAATTCGCCACAACAAGTCGATCAAGAACGGGGCATCTTGGCCCATTGGAAACAGACCCGTCAAGCCCAGATCGATAGACATGACTTCAAACGAATCGTCTGATTTTGACTCCTCTCACTCCATCTTTCACATCTTCTATCTCTGTTTTTTTGTTTGTTCTCGTCTCTTTTGGGCAGGTCAGCAAGGCCGGCAGATGAGGAAACAAGAAAGAAAGAAAAACTGTCCTTTTGCCCCTCTTCTTTATATATACATAGATTGATAGATATGTGCTTGTTGTGTGTTTGTGTGCGTGTGCTAATGTGAAAAGAAAACAACAACAACAAACGCGAGCACACAAAATACATTTGTTTAAGGTTATGTATCTGATGGGTCGGGGATTTGATTGCAGTGGAGCTGGGAGGCTCCGGATGAAGCGTGTAAATAAGCTGAGGACGCTGTTTCCGGGAGGAACTTCAATTCCCTGTCATCTAGCAATCAATCTCGATAGAAATTACAATCCTTCAGATTGTTTTCCAACTTCCATTCCGATACATTAGCGATTTGGCAGACCGACAAAAACACTGCTGCACATCACACCTTCATCGCCTTGTATGGAGATGAAAATCAACAAAAGACTCAGAGGAATCCTGCCCAAAAAGGATCCGACAACGGCAGGATTTGAACCTACGCGGAGAAACTCCAATTGATGATAGACACAGATGTCTTAGAAACAGATTCTAGTCAATCGCCTTAACCGCTCGGCCACGTTGTCCATGCCTCTACCCGCCCTGACTTAGGATTTGGCCCGCGAAAAGAGACCAATGAGCACGATTAAAGACCAACAATTGGTCACCGATAAGCTAAAAACATGGGCCGGTGATCACATTAGAAGAACGGGCAGATATGAGAAAGGGTTTCTCGTTCTCGTTGAGAGGAAACAGGCAAGAAGTGACCCATATTTTTTTCTGAATCTCATGACCAACTTGTCAATTATTGAAAGCGAGCTTGATGGGATTACACCGGGGACACTTTGAAGATATATTTGGCGATTCTATTGATTAATGCTCTGCTCATGATGGAACAAACAAGTAAGAAAGAAAAAGGAGGAGCTGCCGAGGTCATGATCGATCCTGGAAAAGATGATTGGTAGGTTTTTGATCTGCGAGCGGGTGCCATGAGCCTTTGGAGAAGGAAACCGAGAGGGAAAGAGTGAGCAGGCATTCACGATGAAGAGCTACATGGTCTGGGCTGAACTGACCAGGAAATCATGTGTGCCGAGCAAGATTAACAATTTTGTCCCTGCGGACAACAGGCTCGGACTCCTGCCTGGCCGACGCAAGAGTAGGGGCCCGGCAACGGAATCCGATCGTACGGTGCGGGAATCATCAGGGCCAAAGAGACGACGAGGTGGGCCCAGAGGAGCGTAAAAAAGTTCATGTTGAATTTGTTCGGATTTTTATGGCAGGAGGTAGTAGCAAGTCTGTGGGTAGTTTGAACTGGTTTGGGTGGTAGTGAATGTTTCTCAAAATTGTTTACAAGGAGAGTGTAGTGAAGAATAGCCCATCAACTGTTGCAGAGGAGCCTTTAAATATTCCAGTAACTGCAAGCACCAAGGTCGCAATGGCCAGTTGCCTTTGACAAGATGAAGCTTTCAATCTGCGGCGCTCATCCAGCCGCCGCCAGTCTAGTAACAGATTGTCCCAAGATATGTATATGTTGCCCGCTGAGAAACAAAGACTTTCATTGAGAAAACATGCACGCGTTGCTTCTGATTGATGTTTAGGGTGATCAATCATCGTCATCATCCAGATTCTGTCTTGCTGATTATGAAATCGAACGGAAACTGTTCAGTTGCTCACAACTAATGAGTAATGGAGTATCATTTCTGTCGTTTGATAGTGAGGTCTGAAGGATCAGCAGACAGCATGGCCATATTTCTCTGTGACGCGTATGATGAAATAATAGGATTAAGATCGCATGCTTGATCTCCACGATAACGATATGCTCAATTTGAATCACAAGAATAAACGAAAATATTACGATACATGCGGCAAAGAAAGCACCATCGTGTAGAAGAGAGGAGAGGTTTGCCTGCCCTGCTACATAGGCTGCTTGTTGGTTGCTGGAAAAGACTACTTGTGCCGGAGCGCGATCCGCGGAGCAATACGGCACAAGTAGGCGGTGATTAACTCAATGGTTTCTGATGTGATCAAAGAAAACTCATGCAAAAGGGAGCAAGTGTTCTGTGCAGAGAGACGGGAAGTGAATGGTGATGATATATACTTGGAGACCAAAGTCTTTTTTTTTCTGTTTTGTTGAGCACCAATATCTCATCATCACATCCCAAGGAAACACAATTCGTGAGGAAGCGGGCTAAGATTCTCTAACGATGCAATACAGCATTAAATTGTTCATGGCTGAGAATAATGGGGTGAAAAAGATATTCATAAGATTGCTGGTTGTTTATTACAAGATGAAGCTGCCAGACAACCTCAAACCTCGGGGAGAATCGGACAGAGGAGAACAGTTTAACCCTCGAGTGATACAACAATGAGCAAGCTTGAGAACATGGCATAAGAAACGCTCACGCTAAGATCCAGCCATTTGAAGGGTTGCTACATGGATTTTAAGGTGTTAGGAGAAATAAAATGCGAAAAAAAAAAAACATGAAGAGAGAAAAGTCCTCCAATGCGCGATCGATCGTTGGGCAGGGCACTGGATGGATGTCTAAAGATATGAGGGTGGAGCAAGCAATCCGTTAGAGAAGAAAGGTAATAAAGCACAAGTGAACGCGCCACAGCTGATCTGGGGGAGACTAACCATTTAGCTGCAAAGCCGGTATACGGATAGGCACATGTCTTAGACACAGCGTGATTGCAGTCCCATTGCACTCTAACACTCGGAGCCGCGTGCGCGACGACGAAATGGGCCGAAAGAAGCACGATGAAGTTAATCTTCATCCTGTTTAATTTTCTGTTAGTTTAACGAAGGTCTGTGTAGTTTGGCGCTTGTGAGTGGGTTGTCGGATGATGATGAGGCGAAGGAAAAGGATGGCAGAGGCGGTCTTATATCATACTTTGATAGGCTCAAGTGTCGCACAAGACCGCGCATCGTCAAATTGATTCCGCAACCCTCAATCTACAGTGCTAGACCGTCCCGAGGTACAAGCCGACAACAGTCGTACGCCAACAGAACAATGGTTCCTCCAAACACATCCAAGATCAAATCTTTCGTCTCGCAGTGTGGGCAGTGGGCCCGGGGAAGCTGCTGAGCGATGGGCCTGATTAGGATAAGAATGATGATGAGCACCACAGACATCAAGCAATTGGTGTTGGGGTTTGGCGTTTGGCCCGAGACTTGCCATACCGCAAACCTTTTCTGTCACCCCGACTTGATTTGAGAGATGAGCACTGACTCCTTGAGGAGATCCTCAAACTCTTTTCGGAGGGTGGTAGACTCGTCGGAGAGGAGTCCTCGATATTGGCGATAGATATCAAGTGTTTGATCATGCTTGCTCGCGGGGACTGTGAGTAGACGCGTCCAGCTTGTTGGCGAGCAGCTATGATTTGAACTTTCTTGCTGAAGAGTGAGATTTCTCAACAAATGGGTAGGCATGTTTGCTATTACCAACGCTTTGGCAAAGGTTTACTCCAGCTTACTCCCGCGGCAAGTAGGCATTTTCCCACTGCCCGAGGAAGAACCCTGCAGGCTGCTGGGTGAGTCGGCAAAACGTATTCTCACAGGAAGAAAACCTGAGTGTGTACCGATACCCTTTGCTTGCCAGCATCTTCCTTGGTGAACGGGTCCAAGGTGTTCGCTGAGGACGAGTCCTCCCCAGCGTGTGGGGTATGTCGCTGCAGCTGGTTCCTCCAAATCAGAATAGACCCCCAACCATTGTTCGTAGAGAAACAGCTGCAATTATTTGATCGAATTAACCAATCCAGACATGGTTTACAGACATCAAAGGAACTACGTTTGGCGATGTACGAGTCAATCATGTCGGTTGGTCACCTAGGCTGCCAAAACAACTCGGAACAAAACTCATTATCCAAGACCGAATAGACGCGCAAGATCATAATAAGTAACCTATTAATGAGTGGATATAACTAAAGATGGGGGTCTTGTATATAAATAAAGCAAAGTTGTGTGGTGTAAGTATGGATGTATGTGTAAGTATAAATGATGGGAACTCAAAACAGACAATAGCCGACGAGAAAAAAGGAGAGTGAGCACCGGGACCACAGAGACCAGCACATGAACGGACAAAAGAGATCGGTGATGAGCGGGGACAAAGAGAGGACACCAGTTATACAAGATACAGACATAATACGACGCGTGCTATTTCCAGCTATGACAAGTAGAGAGAGACAGAAGAAGCGCCAATACTAGCCGGGGGACAACCACAAACGACGCGGCGACGAGATTTTCAGATGATGATGGCATTTGAGTTATTAGACACGACTCCTCCATTGAGCAGCAGATGGTCATCCGGATGAAGCGAAGTGCCTGTTGGGCCTTCTTCGGAAGCCTGATGACAGACGGCCAAGGGGAAAGGCTGCTGGCCGCTTCGCTTGGAGTCGAAGCCAAGAGGAGCGTTTTGGCTGTTGAACTCTATCGGTTGTGGCTTGACGTTTTCGTCCTGGACAGTCGGGATGGCTGCGGAGCTTGGCATGACGGCGAGGGTAAGGGAGCGGCTGGGAGACTTTCGGGATATATCGAGGGCGGTGAGGGTGGGGCTGGTGGACAGGCCATCGGGGGTGTTGGCTGCGTCGGACTTCGAAAGTGGACCGCCGGTGGAGTGATTGAAAAATGAGCGGAGGCCAAAGCGCTTGAATGGATAAGCGGCCTCCTTTTCCGCCGCGACCGGGTTTTGCTCAGAGGTCGTGTTGGACGACGGAATCCCGGCCTCTTCGTCACCTATCTGTTTTGGTGACGACCCCGAATCAGGCTTCCGACCCCAGCTTGAAAACCCAAAGCTAGCCAACGCCAGCAACGGACTACTCCTATTATGGGGCTCTTCCGAAATCGAGCTCACTGAAACTGGACAGCTTCCGCGGTTCGGAGTCTCGGCCGCTTTCGAGTTCGAATCCAGAGACCGTAAAGGCCTCACGGGCGTACTATTCGTGAATAGACCGAGGCCTTGAACCCTCATGTCAGTTGAGCCCGCATTTGGGCGCTGTGTTTGCGGGGCAATCGAGTCTATGATTGACTGCAGAGCAGCATCTGTTTCCATGCGTGCCGATCGACTAAGTGCCATGGAAAGCAATAATAGCAATTCGGTCAAACGATATAAACTAAAAAGTGTAATAGAAAAAGACGCGTCGACAAACTTACCTGCTGATCAGTTCGGCCTGAAGCCAAAGTATGTGAGCTCTCATGGATTCTCGGTCGGTTAGATCAACCAAGCCGGTCCATCCGGCGCTCAAGCCTTGGGCGCGCGGTGCTTGAGCTGAGGGAAAGTGACCTGATGGTTCCCCAGGGCCTTCCTTATTGGCCTCGGGACATGCTGGTTCGTCCAACCTCTGATCAGGTTGAACCACAAAACATTTTGCCTGAGCACTAGACCAACTGTACCGTCTCATTTGTCGCATCTGGTTAGAAAAAAAAATCATTTGTCAACAAAATAGAATGATTACTAGAAAACTGAAAATGAATGACTGGATTGAAGGTAGCTTACTTTGGTAACAGATTCACTCTCGATTTGATTATGATGTCCGGGTGACTGGTGCTTTGCGTCACCTTGTGCAAGCAATTGGCAGAGATTGCCTCGGATTTGGTTTAATTGAGAGCGGAGTACTTCTGCAGCAGATTCCTCTGCAGGCTGTGAGCAATTAAGCTGCGTGACGGTATTTTCAAGCTGGCGATTACGCTGGTTGAGACAGGCAACCTCGTCCTCCTTGTCTGCGGCGACGGCTTGCAGACGGGCGTTATTCGAGCGCACGACGCCCAGCTCGTAAAGCAACGAGTCGTTCTCCTCGATCTGCTCGGCCAGCTGATCGGCCAGCTTGCTGATTACCTCGTACCGAGCACTCTGTTCCTCGGGATCTTCGTCACCAAAATAACAGGACGGCCTGCGGGAGGAAGACTGCTCCTCCTGATTCGAGGTTGGTGATGTATAGCCTTCCTCTTCGGCTTCCTGCAGGTTCTCAGACATCATCGGTTCGTCAGTCAGTAAGATTTCAGACGTGAGACTTGATTCATTGAGCCAGAAAAACACAGAACATAATTTTAAGCTCACTTGAATGGAGTCTTCATGAATACGCGCTCGACGTCGACCGGGTGAAGACGTTTGAGGCATCTTCGTGGTGTCAATAGTGGCGGTAGTAGTGTCCGTGGTGCTGCTGGTGGTATCAGTAATTATGTTATTATTGTCGGTGTCTTGGCTCTCATCTTCCGCGTTGATATCATCACGGCTCTCATCTTCCTCGTTGATAGCATCACGGCTCTCATCTTCTTCGTTGATAGCCTCGCGGTGCTCATGTTCTTCGTTGACAGCCTCGCGGCTATCATCTTCTTCGTCCATGGCTTCGCGACTTTCATCTTCTTCGTTGATACCCTTGCCTTGATCCGCAGCGGTTTTGACCATGACTTGGGAGGAGGTCATGTTTCTCTCGCGCTGACGAAGTCGGTTGAGTTTAGTAGCAAAATCCGATTTGAAGTCTTCACTGACAAGATACTTTGAGACTTGGGTCTGACGTCTCTCGGCGACAGTGATGCTTGAGTTGTGACCGGATGAGGAAGAGGGTGAACCGGGGGTGCTCAATTTGGTTTCGCTGGTGGTGGACTCCTTATTTGAAATACCGAATCGTGGGTAATTTTGGCCTCCGTTCATCTTTGGATTACCCGGATTGCGCCTGGGACGTGTGCTGAAGGTGTGAGACAGAGCAGGGCTGTTATTAGAGGTCATGGTGGTTAGAAGATACAATATTATATCACTTGAAGTGCCGTTCTGAGATTCAATAAGGATTTGACAAAACAATGGAATGAACGAAAGCGGATCGGACAGATCACGAAGGATGATGTGCTCTACAGACTTGGCGAACAGGAATGCCTTGAGCAGAAATCCATTGGAAGAGCAGACTGATATATAGAACGTCTTCACATGATTTGGGGAGGCCCATTCTCTTTCCTTTCTGGGAGTCGAGGCCATCGAGTTGGAGATGATAAGACTCGAAAAGGAGTACGTACCGTAAAAGCTAGGATAGATATACTTGCCTCAATTGAGCACTGGTCCAAATCGCCAGATCGAGCAGTACGCATGGATGGTAATGGGCTGGGACTCTGCTTACACAGATTGAGAAGTCAAGAAAAGGTCAGCTCCCCACACGCGATATCTGATAAGCAAACAGCCGCAAATGTTTATATGTACTGTACCTTGGGTATATCGCTTCATCAGATTTCCACTCGACTCCACCTGCAGGGGAACCGTCAGAAGGCATACATAGGCGGTCAACTGGAGACGACCGGGACAGCCGTACAGCCAAATTCCAAGAGGCGGGTAAACTGTATGCGCGATTTAGACGAACTTCACCATATTCGTTTATTTACCTTGCGGCTGGCCCATGCAGCTCGGGAGAACCATCGAGCACCCTTGATGAATGGGAACAAGCTCTATCGACCTCCAGTCTCCACTCGATTATTTCGACTAGTTGCGGTCAGAGAAAAGGATGCCGGCCCGATCGATTTCCCCATCAGTCAAAATTGACCACAGACCTCCAAGAGACAACATGGAAAACTCGTGGCAGACTAACATAAATACTTGTGTGTTCCATGGAAAGCATCTTCATGTGCTCAGCACGAGATCGAATGAAACCGCCCGAGCCGAGACTCTCTGACCTTGTGATAATGTCGAATCGTCGATGTTGGCTGCCTTCGAACTCGATTTGGAACAACTCGGGCATCCCATTAGACTTAACAGCAACGATTTTCACATCAGAGCTTGGGTTGCGCACCTTGTCTAGAGGCTTGTCTGGACCTACACAAGACTGCACCGTGTTTTCTACTCGAGTGTCATGATGGCATCGTCGCAGGTGATTGAGGGCAATTGCCGTTCAGCAACCCCTGTCCGTCTTCTCCATCCTGACAAACCATTTTTCCAGCCAAACAAGAGTATGACCACAAGAAAACTTCTCGATATGGGGACCCACCAGCTATAGAAAACGTACCTTACCTTACGAAGAAGTCAAGAATGAACTTCCGGTACATAAAATAATTACCCCTCGCACTTTTGAATTTTACTCAGAGGAACCAAGATTCAGATTTCTCAAAATGACGAGTGATGGGAGCGAACTTAACAAAAGTCCGCGTCCCTGCTGCGAGCATGATACCATGAGGCTATGATCCAATTTTGGTGGTGAAGGTTCTCATTCCACCATAGCGCCATGAATTTTAACCTAGTTTTTTTGTCCTTGCAATCAATGAAGCTTAGATATATTCTTGTTAATCCTGCCAACTCAGAATTTGTACCTCTTATCCCAATCATGCCCGCTTAAGCTTCCCAAATGTTGGGTATTGCAATTTTAATTCTGTCACTTAATGGCATAAACCTCTTTTTTCATAACCCTCCTCTTTTTTTCGACCTTTTGGACTCTCCAGTATAACACTCCCTTATAACGAGCTTCTTTTTTTCACTTTTGGACCGTGATTGCTTTTTACACCACCAGAGCAGCTCGACTGCAGCCCGGCAAAGTGTTCGCCAGTCAAACTGTCCAGCCCCGACCCTGCTGAACCTTCCTGAAATCCAACGTCAGTTAGTCAGATTTGCAGCCATGGGGTCGGGGTGGTCAACACACCGACGCATATCTGCCCTGCGGGCAAGCGGTCGGCCGTCAGCATGGCGCTGACGCCAGTACATTGTCTCAGGGTGCTGAAAGACCCTGAGATTATGGATTCTGGGGTGATTCGGTCGGGCTGCTGGCCTGAGGCGGTCAGGATTCTCATACCGTGAGATTAAAAAAAAAGGAGTCCAGACCGGACTCGGAGTCTCGGCCACTCAATCAATCAAAAAGGTTGTCTTCTAAGAGGACTCAAACCAGGGCAACCTGCCATCAGGTGGTTGATCTCACCGCTCCACCATATACCACTTGACTCATCCTGCTAATTTCTAACACATAATACACCATTCTAGCTCTTTGGCAATTTTTTTTTCTTCAAGTCATTTTAATTTTTAATTTTTTTTTGTTTCAAGACCAACTTTTCTCAAGCTTTTGCCTGACAAGGTTAGCTCTGATAGAGTCAAGAATTCATTTTTAAACTGTAGCTTTGACGTCAGCGCGGCGGTTGCACTCCGGTCATCCTGACCAATCACATACTGAAAGGAGCTTTGACAATACCCATAATCATGGCCTGACAGGCAAGTCAACTCCAACTGCATGACAGTCGGCAGTCTGACGGCCAAGTCAGAGCCGACTGCATGACAAGCGGCAGTCTGACGGGCCAGTCAGAGCCGACTGCAAGACAGGCGGCAGTCTGACGGGCCAGTCAGAGCCGACTGCGTAACACCGGCAATCTGACGGGACAGTCAACCCGGCAACAAGAAAGCCAGCGGTCCAACGAGTGAGTCGACCGGGACCCCAACTGACAGCGGCACAGCGGGGTGATGATCGCGCAAACACAAACCGGCGGCATGACCGGCAGGGCAGGCCAGCTGTCAGCCTGACGGGATTGTGACCACAGAGTCATCCCAACTGTGTGAGGACCGTCAACCCGGCAACAAGATGAACGCGCCTTTGGTCAAAGCTTTGACGTCGGGTGGATAGACCGGAGCAGCTTAAACTGCTCTGGTGGTGTATCCATCCCAATCCCGCACATGACATCGAACTCTCACACAGACACAATCATCCCTCTGAACGAAACAAACATATTATCAAAAATGCTTCGATGCTCTTCTACTTGGCGAAGGAGACAGACTCTTGCTTTTACAATTCAATGTCAAAAAATCAATGCCAAGGGTACCAGCGAGGTGTAATGTTGTTGGGAGGTTTTGTTTTCTGTTGTTCATTTTCTTTGATACACTTTCTTTTCTCTGTCAATCTCTTGCTCTTGACCTCTCTCTCTCTCGATCTCTCTCCGTTATCCTCTCTGTTATCTCATTGGTTATATTACATGTGGTGATCTGAGTTAGAGATGGTCGCTTTGCATCCGGATATCCGCTGATTTCCGGATATCCGCTCTTAATTTCAGCAGAATTAGGCAATTTTGCTGAAATTAAGAGCGGATATCCGGATGCAAAGCGACCATCTCTAATCTGAGTTTTGTATTTCAATGGTCAACTGACCAATTAATAAAGTAATTACAAAAAAAGAAAACAGTAAAGGTCTGATTAAAATACAATCGGACCCTTATTTCAAAAAATCACATATCAATAACAAAATTTATTGGTAAAAAACCAAACAGACAGAAACATTGATCGGATGCTGGCGTACAGCTGGGGGAGAGTAGCAAGAGGGGGAAAATGAGAAGGATTTTAAAATTGAAAAAAAATAAACCTACGGTTATTCCAGACATAGCCTCATGCAGAGTTCTATTGGTCAGGCATAAGCCCCGCCTGCACCTCACGCCTACGGGTGCTTGCGGGCTTTGTTACGCTCGTGATGGGAGTGGGGAAGTAATATGTATAACTAATTTGAGCTTTTCAGAGAGCCCTGTAACTAAGCAATGTCTGCATTTTATTTAACAAAAATACTGGAATCGGCACAATTATTTGTGCAAAGTCCTCAGAGCTTCTGGAGGAATGAATGACATCTAGTTGAAAGTTCTACATGACTGAGCAAAAACCTGGTAAACCTGGTCCCAAATGCTGTATTTTTCCATTTGAATTGAGTGTGTTGTTCAAGATTGGCACTTTGTAGAAGATCCAAGAAAAATGTTTAAGGAAGAGATCCCAAAATGTTCTAGTGATACATATGCCTTTCAGCCAAATGGGCTCATTCTTGAAGTCATCCTAGGAATCCATGGTGATGAAACATCATGGTGCTAGCTCCAATTCAAACATTACAAAGCTCACTTGCATATATTGAAAGGAAAATTAAAAAGAAAATGGTATTAAAAAAAATTGGACAGAATCCAATGGGAGATGATCAGAAATAGAATATTCACACATATTTCACCTGATTCTTGTAATGATTATTAGAGATGGGCGGGGATAATCCATTGCGGATATCCGCTATCCGCTGGCGGATACCCGCCAGGGCCAGGGGATACCCGCCAGAGGATGCGGATTTGGGTGTGGATTTCCTTTCCCCCCCCCCCAAATCCTGGCGGATATCCGGGTATCCCCTGGGATACCCGAGACCAATGGCCGGCTGGAAGGGTTTCCTTCCAGCCGTCAAGGTCCTTCCAGTCGGCAAGGCATGTACCTTGTTGACTGGAAGGGTGGCCTTCCAGCCGTCATGGTACATGTACCTCGCCGGCTGGAAGGTTTCCCTTCCAGCTGGCAAGGTACATGTACCTTGCCAGCTGTTTCCTTCCAGCTGGCGAGGTACGTGTACCTTGTCGACTGGAAGGAAACCCAGCCGGCAAGGTACATGCCTCGCCGGCTGGAAGGCAACCTTTCCAGCCGGCGAGGATGTGCCTCGCTGGCCATTTGGAGGGCGGGTATCCGAGGATATCCGCTTGGATACCCGCTAAGGCGGGGGGATATCCGCCAGGGGATGCAGATGCAGGTGCGGATGCCGCTTTCCCCGGAAAAAGCAACCGGATATCCGGATGCAAAGTGCCCATCTCTAATGATTATCTATCATTTCATTGAAACAATTGCTTGAGTAGCAAAAAATGAAATCAAAAAAGGAACATGAGAACTTTGAGCTGTCTTCATGTAAGAAGATGATATTGTGAATGTTTAGAAGTCTTTCTTCACCAGAATTCTCAATCCACAATTTAATTGTAGGCCAAACCAGTTTTAAGATTTTGAACCGATCTGCAGTTCTTTTTTGAGTCAACAGTTTGGAAGAAGTTTGTGGAATAATATGTTGTTTTTCAAAATCAAAAAGCTTTGTGATAGTGGACTTATAATTAGCTATAGCATGTCTTACATAATGCCAATTATCATTCTCAATCTCTAGATTCCTTTCTGCACAGGGGATTTGCTGATGCCCAACCAGGATAGATGTGATCATGTTAACATAAAAGATGAATAAACTAAAATGATTTTCAACATTTTCTAATGATGAACATGCTGCAGGTTTCAGATGATGAGCTTTGAATTGGATTCCAGATTTCTCTCTCCAGAGCCTTAACCATAATCTATTTTTTGACAGAAATTGTTTGGTGGAATTTCTTATCATATTTTCTCTGGTTGGCTGTAATATTTTGTATTTGAGATCTGGATTCTCTGAGCTTGATCTAACTGGATTCTGTTGTTTCAAAGAGTAATGTACCCTGCAGAAGATTGAATAAGCTTGAGCTGGATCACTGGCATCTATCAATAATTTTGTTCCTGGGGTTTTTTGAATGGATGAAATGATTCTACTAATCCTCTGTGTAAAATGGTTTGATCTCTTAACAGATTCAAATAGTTCTGTATTGAATTCAAGTAGTATAACCTTTCTTCCCTGTTGGGGTGACACTAACTGGGAGTGTGCAATCAAAGTGGGATTTTTCAATTTTGATTTTTGATCTTCTGTATCAACAATATCAGATATTTTATTTGAATTAGATTGTTTTTCCTTTTGAAAGGGTAGTTCTTCTTCCTGAAAGATACAGTTTGGCAATTTTTGTAGAAAATTTGTACTTTTAGGAGATTTCAAGGCTGACTCTTCTTGGATTTTATTGTCCAAATATTCTTGTTTGACTAGTTTCATTTTTTTGTTCATTGGGCTAGGCTCTGTATTTGAACAAGGAATCCTTGTGGCTTCTTTGTGAGAAGAGTGATTGGGAAAAGAGGAGGAGGGATTCAATGATGTGTTTAAGGACTGAATTCTTGAGCCTAAACTGGATGAATCAATCCCCTTGTTGATTTCAAAAAATTCTGGGTTTTTTGATTTCATCATTCTATTGTGTGGTGGTTCTGTGTAAAAATCTTCTTCATGCAAAGGCAAAGAATTCATTTTTACTTGAGAATCTATAGTGGCAAGGTTTGATAAGGATGGTGACCTGGAAAAAGCCCTGTTATTATTTTCATTTTCTTCCAATTTATCTAAATATTTCATAATTGAATCTATATCCTCATTATCCTTTTCTGATAAGAAACTTCCCCAGTTTTTTTGATGGAGAACTATGGGTGTATCATGGGTGGAATAAGATTTGCTGGTTTGCGGAATAGTATCAAGGTATTGCACTTCTGGTGAGACTTCTATTCCTTCTGGGGCAATTGCTGGAAGGTTGGAAACTTCATATGGGGAAGTGGAATGAAGAATTGGTGTTTGAGAGAACTCAATGGGACTGTGGTTTTTTGCATCTGCAGTGGCACCATCAATAGCTTGAGTCAAATCAAAGGTATCTAAAGCATTGCAATGAATAAAAAGCATCACAAGAAAAGTGAAGAAAGTGAGTAAAGGCATTACTTTTCTATGCCAACTCATGCCTAACATGCCACAAGAACAGTAAATGCTCACTAAATAAAAGTTGAAATCAATTCAAATTCATTTTTTTCTCCACTGTAGCTCCTGACTTAATGCAAAACAATTAAAATGGTCCCTTGATGTGCTACAGGTGGCTGAAACAGAGTTTCAAGCTGGATGTATTACAGGTGGACTGCTGAACTCAGCCTGATGTCACCTGTCATCTAGTCAATGTTGTTTATATGAATGAAAAACTAATGATCCAACTTGTTTCTAAAAAAGGGCTGATGTCCCCGGTGTTTGGGAGTTGACTCTCTAATTTTTTGGAGTCAATTAACCAAGCTCCTATATATTATGGTGTTGCAAGCACGTCTGAGCACAAACCCAAGTCCCGCTTGGCCGATAGCCACCGGGGGTTTGATTTGGGCCCAGAGGGCTCGATCATGCAGGTTGTGCGGGGGGTGGGACTTGGCACTCAGCCAAGTCCCGCTGGGCTGATTTCAAGCCCTGGGCCAATTGGTGGCTCAGGCGCTCCCCTCCCTCTCAAAAGACCCGTACAAACCTAGTCGCCAAGGACGGGAGATACCCATCTTGATGCTTGGTATGTGGACAGAATCAACCGATGATGATACAGCAATGGTCATTGGTCATAGAGGAGAGTGATTGACTAGTAGTGAACCGGTCATCAAGAGGGGATTCCTTCTTGATGGCCGGCATTTTGGCGGGCGTGGCACCCTCGCTTGATTTTGGTCAAGCGAGGCTTTGCTCCGACCCCCGCCAGCTTTGACATGTGCCAAGCGGGGGTTGGGAGGGTGCCGGCTTTACAGTCGGCCAAGCGTGCTTTAAGATCGGCCCAGCGCGCTTGGCCTGTTTTCGGCCGAAGTTTGGTGTGTGCCCAGACGGGTTTGCAACACCATACTTCACTTGTGTCTTTTTTCCTTTTTCAATCCTAACTTGTCTCTCCTTTCTCTCAGTCTGGTCCCATTCACATCCATGAATTCAATTTCAAGCAGGGAGTGTTTGTTTCTTTGTAAGCACATCAAGCTCTTTTGTGTTGTCCAAAAGAGTTTCCAGATTGCCAAAGCGCAGGTCAAATCAACAGTGTTCTGCGGAGGTGAATAGTGAATGGCCCACTAGTCAGGTGAAGCTGACAGTGCAACCCAGCCTTCTGAAGCAGGCTGTTTTGTTGGTGGCCAGGTTGGTTTATCAACAAAAGTTACAGCCAATCCAGAAAAGGATGGCATCTTGTCCTCAATTGCACCAGCTCGCTTGTGCAGATCCATCCTATTCGTGATCTGGGTAAGGTTAAGTGCCCTGCTGGATTGAAGGAGAATAAGAGCTTCTAACTCAAACCAAAACCTTATTGGGTCAAGAAGTGGTAGTATCTGCACACAAGCGAGCTGGTGCATTCGAGGAGGGGATGCCATCCTTTTCCGGATTGGCTGTATTTGCAATTGATGGACGAATGAACATCTGGTCCGATTGGACATTGGACCCGGATTTTGAGGGAGGTGTCTCGGACTCCACACCTTACAGGTAACAGGGTCGGATGGATTCTCCGGTCGAGAACCGAGCTCGAGCCGCCCGGGCATCTATAACCAGCTACCCGAGTAAAACAATGGGATTATAGGCCACTGCTAGCGAAGGATAGCGATACATTAGCGGAAAATCAGCACAACATCTGGGAAAGAAACAAACGATGTGCGATTGAATTCCATAGGCCTTATCAGACCTTACCAGGAACTTTGAAATTCTCATGTGGTTCCGGGCCGCAAGCAACCTTCCAGGTGGATCTGAAATGGTCAAGAACGGTCATAAAGTAAACACACGAAGCTGATCTATTTGGGTCAGCTTGACCTCATCCATCAGTCCGTTGCTCGAAGTGATACCAACGGGCGTGTTCCTTTTTTCTGTCTTTTTTTTTTTTCTTTCTTTCAGATTGCTGTTCAATAGGTTGGTTGTTATCTGAGCTTTAGCTCAAGGGATGGATTCTAGCGCAACGAGCAGGCCCTCCAGATCCAGATCAACGGGATCGAAGACAACGAAAAGGCGAGCTTTCCGAGGACAAGACGAAGCGGATGATGACTACCTCTCGGTGGACTCGGCGTTTCCGAGCTCGAATACTTACACACTGCAAGCGATCGTCGAAATCTATGAGTCACTCTACAAGTTCCAGCGCGAACGCACGGAGGAGCAGGAGATCCAGGTGGTCGCTTGTATCACCAAGTGGTACGACCTCAATTCCGTCTTTGAGAACCCATTCACTAGAGCCAATGGGATCGAATCGATCGTCAACCAATTCCTCCTCATGTCTCTCATTCCTGGCCATATCTGCAGCGAATTGGGCGATATATGTCAGAGCGATGATAACAGTAAGCATTAGCCCTTTGGCCTGGTGATGCCAATCAGCATGATTCAAAGTGCTGAATATTGTTTCTTGAATACGCAGGTGGCAATCGAGTCGTTGTATTTTCTCATACGCTCCATTTTAACCTACTCGGGAACAGGGCATTTAACCCTGACAGAACATCTGTCAACACGCCATATGGACTTTCAGTTGCCCCAACACCGCACGCAGGAACACCGAATGTGATCAGCCGGTTTCCATCATTCCATTCAGCCATTCTGGCCCGGGCTGGATCGGCGGCAACGATTGAAGAACGAGTTCTGCCAGTGAGCCGAACAGGGCGAGGGACGACATGGCCGATAAGCTGGATGTTCTCGCATCTATCGCCGAGTAGAATGATCAATGACCTGGTTCGCTTCGATCTGAAGTTATCGACGAGATTAGAATTCAACGAGCAAGCTCGGATTGTCGTCCATGAGGACCTCTGGGGATTGAAAGAAACGCTTGAGTTCCTGGCTCCATCCGTCTTCAGAAGAGTCTATCATCTTCAGCGCTGGTTGGCCAGTCTTTCTGCTGACTTCTTCAGCCGCCGATTCCTTCTCCGTTTTCGCACCCAGCTGTTGACTGATCAAAAGCCGTGTCGACGTCAGTCTAGTCAGCCTGCCCATCAGCAACCCCATCATCGCCATGTTTCCGCTTCATCTATCCTCCCCCGTTCTCCCATCCTCATTGGTTCCTCTTATTTTCATTCTCGAGACCATCACAGATTATTTGATCTCAATCACTCCAAAACTCACTCAGAACATTCCACTGTATCCTCTTCTCCTCCTTCTCCCTTGAAGCAGTCATAATCTCACTCTGAGGTTGGGGGTTTCGAGGATCGGATCAAAATCAGTGCTTCTGACAAGATGCAAAGCAGATTACTTAGAGTCTGTCAGGCTGATTCAATTTCTCATTATGATCAGTTATATATGTACATCAAGCTAAAAATTTCAGCCTGTTTTCCTATAACAAATGTCATCAAAAGCTCATTAAATGTGCAGTACCATGACCTTGTAACTTTCTTGTCCAACAGTCCGTGTTTCCCCAAATTTTCCAATGCCAGATAAGCCTGATCAAACGTTGCTTTACCGTTGTGAATTAGGTTATTATACAATGTTCAAACAAATTATCAATCAGTTTGTTGATATATAAGACTACATTACATCAGTACATAGCTTCCCCCCCCCCAAAAAAAAAAAAAAATGCTGGCATTTCTGTCGAATGAATTTGTGGTCTTTAGAGGGAAGTATTAAGTGGTGAACAAGGGGAGATTCAAACACTCTGATTTAACTAACAACATTATATTGAATGAGGAAGGGTAGGTTATATTATGTATGCAAGAGAATTAATGTTCCTTCCTTGACTCGTTTGACCGCTTCACTTCAACCCTGCACAGCGCGTTCCCTGGCTAGCCATCGTCAGTCGTCGTCGTGGTTGATGTTGCACCGGGCAATGTTATGACGCCTAGGGCAGCGTGGGTTCTGGTAAGTACGAGTTTCGTGGCCGCACATTGTACATTTCTTGATCGTGGCATCACGGCCAGTCCCGCAGATGCCGTGGTCGCCTCCGCGGTTGCACCGGACGGTCACATCACATTGCACTATGGCCCCATGACATCTCTGCTCAGTGTGTCGGCACACCGTCGAATAATTCGCATTGGAGCCTGGAGCCCGGCCGCGATGAAACGAGCAGCATAACAAGAGTACCGAGAGCAGCTGGACCCGAAGCATTCTTGGCGACAAGGTGGAGTTTCAAGTGGCTTGGCTTCAGCGAGGCTCGAACTTTGACTGAAGATGAAACCCTCGTCACAACGAATTCTTTAATAGTTAAAGCCTTGCAAACCGGGATCGGCGTTCGATAGGGATGAGTCCCGGCACCGATATCCACGATTGCACTGCCCATCCAAGTGCAGAGTCAGCTGTAGTCGGAATCACAAGAAACGCACAGTACTAATAAAAAAACTGCTTCTTCCCTATAAAGAAGGATGTAGATGAGATAAGGAGGATCAAAAACAAAGAAGGTATAGCGGATAGTAGGCTAGCTTGATTCTTCGAGGCAACAATTAGACAGACATGCTTATCATGATGCTCATGGCATACGCAACGAAAAGAGAGCGTGAATGAGATCCAATCAGCCTCGGTCTTTGAAGCCTGGCGCTCCGAGTCCAAGTCCAAGGAGCCATCAGAAGGAGGACTGCTGATACATCTGATTAAACAAACCGGATGCTCTGTTGCATATATCGTTTCGTGCTGCAGTTGCGCCGGGCTGCGCCCTGCTGGATGGCGCTGGTGAGTCGAAGAGGATCGCCGGCTTCCCTAGAGTGCGGAAAGTAGGTCGCCGGAGCTGCTTGAGGATGTCGACCAAGATGCTTGGAAAATGCCAGGAGCGATTGATGAGGATGGATCCCTCGCCAATCTGTCCTTCTAGATCACTTGCTTGGATAGTACATATGATCTTGTCTGTCCATCCCGGCCGGAGAGAGCCGGAGCATTTTTGGAATTCACCTTGCTCGTCGCAATGGTTGGACGGGAGACCGGTGAGCCGGGACGCCCCATCGGCCGATCATGAACTAGTCGATCAATCCAAGAATCTCTGCCGGTGCCTGGACGCAATACATACAGACGAATTGGTCGACGAAGTTCGATGGCCAGCTCAACCTGTTTCCGCAAGCTTTCGAGCTGATCATGACCGATCAATAGTGGGAATGTGAACACTTTATCCAGCCCGATCTAGCCCATCTTGTTCATTGAAAACCGCATCAATCCAGCCTTCGATTCAGAAATGCTTTTGAACGAATCCGATTCTGAAGGAGAATGCAGGCTCGGATCTCTTATGAGGTGATCGCTTCGTCATTCTTCATCGTCCGCGCTTGATCACTCTCTTCGATTCATGAAATCACACTCACTTAAAATGGATGAAGGCCGAATTCAGGCGTCACTTTCTTCCATATAAGACTAAAGGATTCCTCGGTCTTTGTTTGAGAGTCGAGCGATGAAGACACCACGCCAATTATACTCCGATGAAAAACAGATCAGAATTTAAACATTTTGATATGAGTGTAGAGGAATATGTGAGGTCGCCCGAGCTATCTCGTTTCTTTGGAAGGCATCGTTCGAATGGATGATAATGGACTGAGCGCTTCTTTCCTATCAATCGTTGTTGGTCTCAGCTCATGCTGGTCTTAACTTAGCACAATCCCTGCTGGACTCGTTTCCTGATCCCATCAAACCAGTCACATATGAACATGGGTATCTCTGGAATTTTCATCTGCTCGGTGACAAGTTCATATTCTGAACAGTTCTCAAGTTTCATTCTGCTTGATTTCAGACAAGATTTTAGGCAAGATGATGTCCAGCAAACATCCTCAAGTAGGACGACGGTCAGCGAGCATCCTCCGCTAATAAATCTTATCGACCATCCCGTACACCAGTCAACCCCGGTTCAACTCCCCTTGCAGTCACCTGAAGATTCGAAAACTTGCGAAGATGAAACTCTCCTGCACCGTCTATGCATTGGTGCTGACTCTTCTCCTTTCGACAACCTTCTGCAATGCCCGCAACGATGTGGTGTGTGCTTACTGCAAAGAACCGCGTGCCGTCGAGGTCAAGACTAAAAAGCCACTTCCGGAAGCTCCGTGTGGACATCGTTTGCTCGATAATACACTCTGTCAATCAATGCGTTTGAAGAGACTCTATAAGTGCAAGGGTTGCAAGGAGCACAGCTGGGGCAATGCCAGAAGGACTGATGATTTGCCACAAGAAGGTTCGTGCACACACGAGTCCAAGCAAAAAATGGTTTACAATCAAACGAAGAAAACCTTTGAACCATTTCTTGAGTTTATCTGATGACCCTTCAGGCACTTGAAGGAACTCGAATAAAAAGAAAAGAAAAATAGTGCTCTGCAAATCATTGAATAGTTCCTACATGTATAGGTGAAATAAAACTTTATAGAATCACAATCTCCAACAATATCAGATGTGTACACTGAGAACTACTGGGCTGTTTTTTGAGTGCAAGCTTTCCAGGTTAAACTCCAACAGGTGTCTGAGGAAGCTACCTAGGTACAGCCATGAAAAACTAAGACATTGCCTGAGCCTGGACCATATACCTTGCTATTCTGGCCTTCAGAAATAACAGAATTACCTTTTGTAAGAGCTGTGAATGATCTTGACTGAAGCTCTTAAAAAACTGCCCACACAAGACCTTATGCCTTGGAGAGAGAACTTCTAGTACCATGGTTGGATGAATTGCTAGCATTGGTAAGAGGAGACCTCTACTTGAGTACAGCTAGAAGGGGCAAACAGAGAATGGAGAAAGAAGAGCATGAGAAGACATACCTAGCATTGGAAAGAGGAGAACTTTACCAAGCTAGAAGGGAAAGGGCAGTTGAGACTAAATAGGACGGTTCACATTTCAATTTTTTGAGCAAATTTTTTATTTGAAGTTAGCAGAGGAATCGAGATCTCACGCTTAAAATTAGCCTGCTGCCAGTGCCAGTTTGGACAGAGTTTTGAAATCAGCAAGCAGAAAGTGTATTACAAGTTCGCAGTGGAAAGTGTGAAATGTGAACTGGGCTAATACATGGCAGAACTAAGCTTATGTAATACTGTGACATGTTTGTGTGAGCCTTTGAGAAGCATGGCTCACACCTTTGATTACCAAGTCTGTTAGGATTCCAAATCCTATAAAACACACAGAAACAGGAGAGAAACATGCAATTTTCCTTACATATGAAAAAGTCAAACCCCTACCTCAACAAAGATTATCAATTGACTATATGAAATTGCTGCTCCAACAACAACTTATTAGTAGTTTCTTTTCTTCACATGCACATATTAACAGCTTCACATGGATTGTTTTTTCAGCCTGAGTTATTCCTGGTTAAATGTTGCACTCTTTATCAGCTTAATGGGGATGGATCCTTGGAAAAATACTGCAGCTGATAATAACAACTTTCCAAGAAATTGAAACCTCCCAAGTGAATTTGTACAATCTGTGCAAGACAAAAATGAATTGAAATTGAACAGATTCTTCTCACACAACCATGTCCAAACAGTTTCTCCCACCTTGGATAAACAATCCCAGTCTCACTTCAACCAACCATGTCTGAAAAGATGTTCTGAAATCTAGCTGTACCTGCCTGTCTCATGAATCAGTTAAAAAATTTCAGAAATCCAAGAAACCCCCTTCCTCCTAAGAATAAGATAATAGAACCTATCAAACAAGATGGAAAATCTTTTGTCATTTTTCTGTGTTCTGTGAAAATCCCTACCAGATTGAAAGGAGATGTTCACATTAATTCAATTCTTGGTTTTGGGAACTGCTCAGGAGCTCTGCTATGTTCAAATGAGAAAGTTCCTCATCTGAAAATGAATTTCAAAAAAAGTGAGTGATAACTGGTAGGGGAATGAAATGTATGGCTGGACACAAAGAAAATACCTTTTGTTTGAAAAATGCATTTCAATTTTATGATTGATTCACTTTTGAACAGCTCTTTATATCAAAAGTCTACTACTGTATGTCATCTCCAGAAAAAATAAATACAAGAGAAAATCAACTTGGCATGAGAATGTTTAATGAATAATGAAAACAAACTTTAAGAATTCTTGTAATATCTTGAGATGTTTTCAGTGAGATGGGTGATTGAATAGAAGAAAATGTCATCAAAAAATGTTTTTGATACAAATTTGCAGCCCTCATTTTTGAAAATGATATTTAGAAGTTCTTCATTTCCTGTGCTCTCAAGCCACAATTCAATTGTTCTCCAAACAATTTTAAGGGTTTTGACTGCACAAGCTTGCTTTGTCTGATACAACACAGAGGTAAAGATCTTTGTCCCTGAGAGTTGTCCCTGATTTTCCAAGGAGAATAGCTTTTCAAGGACAGATTTGTAATTTTTGACTGCATGGTGAATCAAATCAGAATTGTTGTTTTCAAAACCTAAAGGATTTTCTGATGATGGTATATGGCTTGGTTTAACAAGTATTGTGGTGATCATATTGATGTAAAAAATAAACAAGTTAAAATGCTGCTCAACATTGGTATTTGAGAGACTGAGAGAAGGTTTCAAATGCCAAGTTTCAAAGTTTATCCCAGACTTTTCTTTCCAAAATCTCAACCAGAGATCCTTCTTGGACATGATCTTTGCAGTTGATTCCCTTGTCAATTTCATCCTTTTCATGTTTGATTTGACATTGTTTACTTTCTTTGTATTTGATGTTACATTCAAGCCTCTTACTCTAATGTAACATTCAGAAACAAATAGATTATAAGCACCTTTTAGATCACTTATATCAATCAACAAATGGGGTCCTGGAGTCCTGTCAATGATGGAAACAATTACTTTCATTTTCAATATGTCTAGTTCTGATGGGTGTTCATGAAAAAATACTCCTGCATTGAATTCAAGCAGTTTTGTTTGATCTGTAGTCTGACCAAGAGGTGAACCTGAGGGGTTTTGATTATTGGTGGTTTCAATGTTACTTTGGATTCTTGGGGAGCTAAAGAGGCCTCTACTCTGTGAATTTGAAATTAATTCAATTTCAGAAGCAATTTCTGGTCCTGCTGAATTGTTTGATTTAAAAGGTGAATTACTGTTAAATTTGTCCAGAGTCTCCAAATTTTGAAAATTTTTCCTTCTTTTTTGGGATGAGTAATATTGAATATGATCTTCATTTATGTGTTTTCTATTATATAAGGATTCATTTGAAACATCTAAAGAAGGTAGAACAAGATGATTTTGACTTGTTCCACCTTTGTTTACAGAAATATCTGGTAACTGAATCAAGTTTTTGTAGTAGCCTAGGATCTCACTTTGTGCTCCTTCTTTGTTGAATGAATCCAACAGGGTGCTACTTTGATGTCCCATAGCAGAATTTTGTAATGATTCAGAAAAGCTACCAAGATTCTTGTTTCTCTCTTGAACTTTATTATTATTATCTCCAATAGACATAAAATCCTCTACAGTATTAAGGAAACCTTCAGACGCATGTGAGACAACATGATGAGGCATGGTACCTGGAGACTGAGTCAAAGCTGGTTGACATTGATCTTTGGGAGCTTTTGGTTCTTGGAAGATGGTAGATGTTGATGGGGTGAAAAGGGCTGAGACATTTGAGTCAGTAAATTGCTCATGGGAATTCTTGATGGGGCCAAGGATATCATCCAAATTTTGAGGTGCATTGTAATACATCCAGTTCTGGATTAGGTCATCCATTCCAGAACAAGTGGTTATAAAAAGTATGATAACTCCACCAAGGAGAGGAGAATGACACATTTTCATTGACAGGGGGGGGGCAAAAATTGAGAAGAATATCTTTTTGCTTTTGCCAAGATGTATTTGCAAAGAAGTTAGCTAAAAGCTATGGCACAATTTGTATTTTGGATATCGAATGGGAGGGGAGAACCTCTGGTTCCGGTATACAAACACCCAAGCCATGATATTCTGGCGGGGTGCCTGGTGAGTGATGGACACTGAAGAATGTGGATGGGGAACACCGGAATTCAGATTCTTCAGTGTTGCGGGGCTACCAAACAGTCGCAGGAGGGAACCAGTTTAAGTTGGGATTGACACGCCCTCTGAGGCTTATGAGTTGCTTGGGTTTCAAGTGCTCCAGCCTCTCTGAGCAGCTCGGCATGGTGCTGCCCAAAAATACTTCAATTTACATTGGCCTTCACTCTCCTTGTACCTTGAGTCTCAGACATTTCCTCTCTCCATTTTGGGTGCCGCAAGTGGGCGCATGATCGATCAATGGGGCCAGTCCTATCAAACTTCACTGCGAGCATCATTCCGTGCCAGCACCCTACTGCGACGACCCCTCGCAGTTAGTCCGCTATGGATAGCCCAGATCGCGCAGGCCCTTGAAGAATTGATAGCCCGATCACCTGGCCCCTAAGTATCGATAGCCCCATCACGTGGTCCCAAGTGTTGAAGCTGGGCGTTTGAGAATCTTAAAAGGATCTGCGCGGTTGACGATCTGCTCCGTCCACCGCCAGTGCCGGTCGCAAGTTTAATCCCACTCAGTGTCTGAATCCATCATAGAAACAACCATCCTAAAGGCTACCTTCGGGGAAGGGGGGGGGGGCATATGGCCTCGGGGTATTTTTTCTCCAGCTGCGTGATTAATCGAAGTCTTCTTTCGATACAGATTTAACTTCACATCGTGCACTCTAACTTACCCAAGTCCCTCCGGCAAGCCATCGGATGAAACTACCAGAGGGCCTTGATTGAGTTAGTCGTGCACTGTGCATTGAATTTACACTTCCCCTCAAATGAGTTGTGGGCATCTTTGTTTTTAAATGCTTTGGTGTAGAGTTTTAAGCTAGACAACAAAAACTGAAGAAAATCTGATGTTTGGGATAGGAATTGGAGCACCAGATTGAAGGATGACCACCACCCATTGTGTTAGCTACAAGATGTGTAATAACCAAAGAAGAGGAATGATTCCAGTGAGGCTACAAGCTTTGCGGACCTGGAGGGGCCGCGTTTTTCGAGGAGAAGCTGTTCACAACCCGGGATGTCAAGGGGTAAAGAATTATCCTTTCTGATCCAACTCATCATCAGTCTGAGGACGATTCGCATCTCACGCTTGCTCACCCTGAACACCAATTATCAATGATAAACGCTTGTTTCTTCAAAGGGAAATCTTTGTTGCTCGGCGGATAACATGTTGTATCTCGGGACAATCTCATGGTAAAGATCGGTGGCCGGCGGCTGGATGAGCGCCGCAGATAACGTCATTCTAGATATTTACATAAATGAAAAGTTAGCAATAGCAAGCTCATTCTCATCCTTTTGTTCTTATCTATTCATGAACATCTTGACATGGATTTTAACATTTGTTTGATGACGGAAGCGTTCCCATCCCGCTTGTGAGGCAAACCGCTAAGAGATGTGATGACGAAGTGATGAGCTGTGTTCAACTGACAAGTTTGGCAGGAGGTCGGATTCAAAAAACAAACCTGGGTCACTTCTTATCTGTTTCCTATTAGCAAGAACAAAAGACCCTTCTGATGTCTGCCCGTTCTTCTAATGTGATATTAGCCCACGTTGTTAGGCGTATCAGGTCTTTTATTCTACTCAGCTGCCTAATACTGGCGATTGTGTACGTAACTGGCGGGATAGAAGTATCGACAACGTGGCCGAGCGGTTAAGGCGATTGACTAGAATCTTGGTTCTAAGACCCGATGCATCAGCATCCGTCTAACATCAATTGGAGTTTCTCCGCGTAGGTTCAAATCCTGCCGTTGTCGCATACTTTTTCTTGCAGTTTTCTTGGAAATAGTTTTTGTCATTGCAGGGGAGATACCACATGAATGTTGACTTCAATTGTTCGAAGAGAACGAAGAGGAACAAAGACAAAATAGAGATATCTGAAAGATTGAATTAGTAAAGTGATTGATTGATTACATGCCATGATGATGATCTCATTGAGGGACACGATATTTTCCAATTGCAAACAAACTGTACATGTTTATATGACATTAACGAGGTATTGAGGAATAAGCAGGAGTGAGGTCGAGCCAAAGATTGTCTCAAGAGGTGGGTTTACACATTCTTCTTGTTTTGGTATTTCGTTTTGAATCGTTAGACTATTGTTGTGATCAAGTCCGTTGGTTTTACAATCATCCGGATGCTTCATTTCTGAACGGAAAACCAATGATTTTTGAAGATACGTATGATAGAAATCGATTGGAGAAACAAAAGACATACGACGCGGTAAAAATGTGCACTTCTACATAGTACACAGGGAAGATACGGAGGAAAGAAAACAAAGATGGTAGTAAGGCTGGTACATAAGCTAAACAAAGGGCCTTTTTTGCGTTTTCATGAGGGAGATCCGATTTGACCAGAAACAATTCCGGTCACGCGCCGGCATAGAAGCGATTCCAATTAGCCTCGATTTGTCTAGCCAGACGATCTGAGTGCGAGTCCAAGGAGTAGTCATCAGAAGGAAGACCAGAGCTCCCGGAGGACTGGGGTGATTTCACGAGGCGAACAAGATGGAAGATTTGTTGGAGTTTGTTATCGATCAAGACCGGGTCGGCGCCGTGATCGGACTCGAGGAGCAGTCGGTCGAGAGGGGTGGCCCGGATGGCCTGGACGGCCCTCGTCGAATAACGCTTGTTGTCCAGAACTGCTGTCTCGTCGCATTGCGGTTGGGCAAGACCGGGATGGGCCTTGTTGGATGGTGCTCGTGAGTCGAAGAGGATCGCCAGCTCGCTGGAATACGAAAAGTAGGCCGTCCGAGGCAGTTTTCGGAGCGTCTGTTGGAGCACTTCGACCGAGATGTTGGGCGAGTGCCAGCAGAGGTTAATCCCCTGTTCCTGTGTCGTGTCCTTGTCTCTCTCTGAATCCGCTTGGAGAGTAGGATTTTCGCTGCCCATCTGAGCCGGGCCGGTTTTAGATTTCTTTGCAGTTATTCGATGGTTTGAGAGAAGACCGGTGAATCGGACGCCCCAACGGCCGATCAACTCGTCGATCAACCCGAGAAGCTCTGTTGGGGCTTGGACGCAATGCAGACTGATTGGCCGACGAAGCTCGATGGCCAGCTCGATCTGTTTCTGCAAGATTTGGAGCTGATGGCCGATCGACACCTTGTATTTGCTCTTGATCACTCGATCCTCTGTCACTGGTTGGTCTCCATCATCCTTCTCGTTAGATCCTCTTGTGGGGTGGATGACCGGCGAGGGTTTGATATGGAACGTGAACGCTTTATCTAGACCGATCTCGCCCATCACGCTCGTCGGAAAGCGCATCAATCTTTGCCTCAATCCGACTAGAAAGTTTTCCAAACGGATCGGCTTGGGGAGCAGATGGAGATGACAATCTATCCATTCCCAAATCTCCATCCGATCTTTCCGTCGTCCCTCATCTTCTTGTTGAGTATCTGATCGACCAATGGAAGAGGTCGGGTAATGTTTCTTGACCAAGATCTCTCGATAATGGGCCCGTTTATCGAGCTCTTGATCCCCCGACTCGGCTCCGTCCAATAACGTAATCGAGCTCGTGAACCATGGATGAAGGCCGAAGGCTGGCACCACTTTTTGCGGCTGAAGCCTAAATAATTCCTCGGTCTTTGCTTGTGATTCGAGCGATGAAGACATCACACAAACCTACATTCAAATCCCACGAGAAAAAAAAATCAGATTGAATCTTAATCATCTTGGTATGTAAATATGAGTGGATAAGAGGTGATTAAAATTAGGGAAGAAGATTGACTTTACCGATGGTTAGCTGTCCGACTTGTGAAGCTGCCCGAGCCATATCGTTTCCTTGGAAGGCATCGTTCGGATGACAATGGGCATCGGTTAATCGACTCAGCGTGTCCTGGTTCTGAGTTGTTGTTGGTCGCCCCTCGTGTTGGTCGCTCATTTTGCTATGGAGTTACAGACAGCTTTCATGTTATCCCACCTCTGGAATAACGAGACATTTGGAATCCGTCTGGTACAACCTTAGATTGAGCCCAGATGGTGACTCCTCATCAAGTAGGACAACGATCACCGAACATATGTATGTACTCCGCTCCATCTCACACTGACCAGCAGTCAACACAAGTTTAACTCCCCTCGCAGTCACACTCACCACTTGCAGAGATCAAACTCACCAAGATTGCCTACGGCGTGGTGCTCGGCCCAGTGCTTTCGGCCCACTCATGTGTCGCCAGCCACAACAACATTGATCTGTGCCCACTGCGAGATAGACAACGGCCCCCTCCCCCCTGCGCAATCCCAGATGGTCTACTCGAAGAGAACGAGTGTGGAGAGAAACAGGCAAATGGCGTCGTCTGCCGAAAACGCCGCCAAAGGAATTACTTTCCGTATCAACGGATGAGCAGCAATAATCCGGTGCGTGGAGAGTGTGCCCATTTGAGCAAGCAAAAAATTGTGTCCAGTGGGGGGAAATACGTTGTGTCTCGTGAGTTCCTCTAATGGCTCCTCAAACAGTGGCAATTGGAGCCAAAGCAAAGAGATCCTGTTCTAAGGTATTTAAATTGTGTTTATGTTTTTAAGTATTGCAAAGCCTCACTCTTTGCTTCACTTGCCATAGATTTGGTGGATCAATAAATTGTAGTAGTCACAAAGAAAGTAGAGCAAGAAGGGGTTATTGGAGTCAACTCCAAATCTCACACTGGTCCCTCTGGGGTCCAAAGCCAAAAAAGGAGTGACTTATGCCTTATAAACAGTCAGTGTTTAAAATCACAAACTACAGCATCTTGAGCGTCATCCTTCAAAAAAAAAAAAACTCAGGCTTTTTGGCCGACGGAGCTCGATGGTCAGCTGGATCTGTCTCCACAAGATCTCTGGCTGATGGGCCGATGGCCGATCGTATGTTATGACACTTGACCGTCTTCCGCCGGTAGGTCCTCCATCCTTCTTGCCGGACCCGCTTGCAGGAGGGAATATGGTCGATGGCACCAAGGAATTTATTATGCGCGATGTGAAAACTTTTTCTCCAGTCGACCGTGCTTTTCGGACAAGGCGACAAGAAAGGTCTTCATGAGCCGAATCGAATTGGCAACGAGTTGGACACGAAGGCGGATCCATTCCTTGAACTCCCTCTCGTCCTGCGTTCGGCAATGTGCCCGTTTACTTTTCGTTTCCCATCAAACAAGCAAATGATTGGACGACTTCCCGTCGATATCTGCGGGTCTCCAGAGCCGATGTAGAGCCTCCGATCACAAGTTTTCCAACCTGTCAAGCCGCCCGAGCCGTATCGTTCCCTCGGAAGGCATCGTTCGAATGACAATGGATTATGGACATCAGTTTTACAGTCGACGGAAGGTTTCCTGCTCGTCAACCGATGCGGCTCTCATCTCAACAAATGGATCTCCCTGGAGCAACTTCAAAACATTCGGCTCTCTTGTTACATACAATTCCGCACAAACATTCCTGTTACCCAAAGTTTAGACCAGAAGAGAAGGATCGAACATCCTTAAGTAGGACAACGGTCAGCGAACAACCTCCGCTATATCTTATCGACCATCTCGTACACCAGTCAACACAACTTCAACAGAGTTCAACCCCCTTCGCAGTCGCTTCGTCGTCCGAAACACCACACCAAAGATGAAACTCTCCGGCATCCTATACACGGTGGCACTGACACTCGTCCTATCGGACACCTCCTACGCCCCAGTCAGCAAGAGCCATGTCATATGTACACACTGTGAAAAAACGGCAGGCTCTGCAATCATTGCACCACCAGGTCAGCTGATTAAAGACCGCTGTGGACACACAATCACCCCGGGTTTGGTGTGCCAAGAACTGCGTACAAAGAAGTACTCCGAATGTGAAGATTGTAAACAGCACAGCCGCGCTAACGCAAGAAAGAGCGCATCGACTCCGGCAGAGAACTGCGAGCACAAATGTAAGGAAAAAATCACTTACTCCCCAGAGACAGGCCTTCCAGAGTACACAGAGTACATTAAGTCAAGACCCTGAGTGCGCAAAAATTGAAAGAGAAGATAATAAGCCAACAAAATCAAGCATGTTCACAAGACCCTATTCAAAATATACATACTAGTTGTAAGACACATTTATCAACAAATAATCTTATAGAATCTTTCAGATGTGTACCCTCTACTACATAACATAGCCTTGTGAAAAAATCCTAAACTCCCATTAGTAACCAGGACATGATTTTTTTTTTTCTTTTGAAAAGCTCTTTGATTATTATTTTGGGCTTACATAGATCTCAATTTTCATTGGTGGTGGACCTTGTTGGATATACCCAAGCAGGTCCTTGACAAGACAATGCCTGAACACACAGCCAATACACACAGGTGTGTGCAAAAAGATGACATCCCCCACTACTACTAGTGTGGATAGCATACCCAAAAGAAGGGCGATGATAATCGCACTCCTCCCCCCTCCCCGCACGCCCACGCCCATGCCCCTCCAAAAGGGGTGTGCAATCACACCCGCCCGTTGTGGTGGTGAGAGTGCGCTTGGGCCAAAGCTTTGGCCGGTTTGTTTGGGGGCATGCGGAATGCTCGCGGCGCTGATGCGGAAAGCACGCGGAGCTGACGCTACACAAGCAGGCTGAGGAAAGCGGCGGTGCATTAGCGGAAAGTCTAGCTTTCCGAGGCGCGGGAAAGCGGGGAAAAGTAGGCCGAATGCACAAGGTTCTGAAAAGCTTACTGCGGGGAATCCGGGCACCGGCGGACACCGGGGATCACGGCCGACTGCGGAACGGGGGTTCAGCATATACTGCGGAGGGGCTACAAGGAGCGGGGAACACCGAGGGGCGGAAGCGGGGTTCGGAGCGGACCAGAGGCGGAAGCGGCGGTGGGAGACCTGCTTAGGAGCGGCCGGAGGAGTACCTGGCCGACAGGCGTCGGAGGGGTGACATGCGGAGTCCGAGGGGGTGACAGCAGATGACATCGCGGGAAGCAGGAAGGGACTGGAGTGTGGGATACTTAGGAGGAGTGGAGTTTGAGGCAGAAGAGGGGGGAGAGAGGGGGGACTTATGACTCGGAAGATATCAGAAAAACAGAGTGACTTAGGAGTGAATCGTGTATTAGCCTAAAGAATTGTTAGAAGATAGAATAGAGTTAGAGTATTACCTACAAAAGACAAACAAGAGTGTTATTTTACCTACCTACAAGACCATCAAGCAAGTTACCCCGGACAACAAACCGGAATAAGACGCGTTGCGGAGCGGAGAAGTACAGGAAATACCCTAGGGCGCGCCTTTCTTTCCACACCGTCTCTGAGGGGCGGGTTTGATCGCACGCCCCTCGGAATGCTGATTTCCCAAGGAAACAGGCTTCTGAGGGGCGGGCAGAAGAACCCGCCCCTCAGAGACGGGCGGGAGGACTTGCCCGCCAATCAAGAACCAAGATATTCTCGGTTCTTGACTGGTGGGCAAGTCCTCCCGTGATTATTTTTAATTGGCTTACCTTCAGTTTTCCTCTGGCCAATGGCCGGCGCTCCTCGAGACCTATTTTTTTTTTGTAATATCGGACCTTTTGTCTAAGAAACTTGTAGTTAATATAAACAGACAAGATCAGAAGTAAAGTGTCACTTCACCTCAGTTGAAACGCAGCTCTCCTGAGCCACAATAGTTGCTCGCAATAACGAAACACAGGTGAGATTAATTCCAACCAGAAATCTAAATGATTCATGAGGTTACGATTGGATGTTAAGCCAGCATTTAGTCCAATTTTCAAAAGACCCGCGGCAGGTGAGGAATCGCAACAGGCTTGGTCGATCAGCGGTAATTTGTGTAAGATGTGCAAGTAGATTGCCGAGTCTTACATCTGTTTATACGTGTCTTTCCGAGAGGCTCTGAGGATCTGGTTTCCAAGCCGAATTCGGGCATCTTTCATGGCTTCATTGAATGATTATTGATTGTTCATGAAGGTAAGCCAATTATGTCAGCAAAACATCCTAGGATGTTTTGCTGACATAATCGCGGGAGGACTTGCCCACCAGTCAAGAACCGAGAATATCTCGGTTCTTGATTGGTGGGCAAGTCCTCCCGCCCGTCTCTGAGGGGCGGGTTCTTGCCTGTTTCCTTGGGAAATCAGAATTCCAAGGGGCGTGCAATCAAACCGGCCCCTCAGAGACGGGCGGGTGTGATCGCACACCCCTTTTGGAGGGGCGTGGGCGTGGGCGGGCGGGGAGGGGAGGGGAGTGCGATTATCATTGCCCCCAAAAAAAGTGCGTGCACTCCACATCAAGATAAGCTCTCACCTGGCTGCCACTAAAGAGCTAAACTCAATAACATAAGGGGCTTGGTTAATCAACTCCCAAAAGTTGGAGAGCTGACTCCCAGACCCCCAAAACTCCCAAAATTCCCCCGGATTTCCCAAGAAATGGGAGTCAATCCCCCAAACCTGTCAGCGGGTTTGTCCCCAAAAATTTTAAATAAAAAAATGAAACCCCCAAAGGAGTTGGGGGTAGATGCCCCAAAACCCACTGGGTTCTGGGTGTCACTAACTAAAAAGAGCCCGCAACAGCTGGGAGGATTCCTCCCAGCCGCTGATGGCACGCCCTCAGCGGCCAAGAGAAAAACCCTCAGCCATTGAGAAAACACTCTTGGCCGTTGAGAGTGTACACCCTCAATGGCCGGGAGCAAACCCCTGAGAGGAACACTTGGCCGTTGAAAATACCCTCAATACAACAGCCAAGACTGTTCCTCAATGGCTGGGAGGGTCTCTTGGCCATCAAGGGTGTGCCATCAGCTGCCAAGAGGAATCCTCCCAGACGTTGCAGGATCTTTTTGATTAGCAACCCCCAAAGCCCAGCGGGTTTTGGGGCATCAACCCCCAACTCCTTTGGGGGTTGGCTTTTTTTTAATTAAATTTCTTGGGGTTTTTACTCCCAAACCCACTGACAGGTTTGGGGGATTGACTCCCATTTCTTGGGGAGTCCAGGGCAATTTTGGGGGTTTGTGGGTCAGCTCTCCAACTTTTGGGAGTCAATTAACCAATCCCCTAACATAAAATAAGTGAATAGCATGAGCAAAGAAACTTATAAACCAATCAATCAACATATGAAATTAGGTTTGTATGGAGAAATAAAGATACAATCACTGAATTAAAACTGCCTGCATAAGGGGGTATACAGGATCTGCCATGAGCAGTGCTTGTCAAACCATCATCCAACAGTATGGGATTCACAACTGTGAAAGTTCTGAGACAAACACAACATTTAGAAATAGACAAGAGATCAATAAGTACCTCAAAGCAGGTGTGATGACATAGATGAGAAATAGTATGCTATTGCAAGCTTTCCAAGTCCTTCTTGGCCAAGTGCCACCAGGCACTTACAATGTGCCCAGGGGCTTGATCAAGTGAGCTTGGCTGGAGGTGTATCTTGGCCCATAGCCAAGTCCTGCTAATTGGTGTTGGAATTCAATTCCTGAGTCCAGCCCTCGGAAGAGGAGAGTCTCGGGTAAGCTATACTTTAATGTATAAAATTCCCAGAATAAAGAGATAAGCTGTTCAAGAGATGAACATGTGACTGCCAAGCTTAAAGCTTGTGATTCAGGAGATGACATCAATGATGTTATAACTTTGGATGATGAGAATCATCAATCATAAAACTCCAAGTGAGTGTCAAGGATTGTGATCAGAGGAAAGAGAAGAGATGATTGTTGGCGACTCAATCTTCTCCTTTACCAAATCCATCATCTTCAGTCTACATCAAATCTCCTTGAAGCATACTCAACTTATCAATCACACCTCTCCACCTAAGACTGGTGAGTAAGAGCCTTTCCTCAATTAAGTAAAGAGACTAATAAGCAATAAAACATTTATTAATGTTTTCTGCCTTGTTTAATATTTAGAAGTATTAAACAAAAGCCAACTATCACATTAAGATTATCTTTATTAGATCTATTGATCTAATTATTGTAAAATAATTCTTGAATCAAACATTTAATGAAAAGAAAGAAATAATAAATTGAATAAAAGCTAATTAAGTTTGTCTTTTGATTATCAGCTCATGACTGCTATTACTCAACAAACTATTACCTTTTTAGTGCTTTGATAAACGCACTCCTCCCCCCTCCCTGCACGCCCACGCCCCCGCCCCTCCAAAAGGGGTTTGAATTGAACCCTCCCCTCAGGAAGGGGCGGGTTTGATTGCACGCCCCTCGGAATCCTGTTTTCCCTCCCTCGGAATCCTGTTTTTGAGGGAAAACAGGATTCCGAGGGGCGGGCAGACGAACCCGCCCTTCCTGACGCCATAATTGGGAGGTGAAGGGAGAATAAAGTTCTCCCTTCACAAGACTGTACCCCTCCCGGCCGGGAGGGGTACAGTCTTGATGGCCAATCCCTCTTGGCTGTTGAGACTGTACAGTCTCAACAGCCAGGAGGAATCCCTCTTGGCTCCACAAGAACTGTACAGTCTCAATGGCCAATAAGGATTTCTTCCCGGTTTTTGAAGTCTGTTAAATATCGGGTAGAGAGGGATCACTTCTCGCCCCCAAGACTGGACAGTCTCCAACAGCGAAGAGTACAGTCTTGTGGCCGAGAGGGGATCCCTCTTGGCCGTTGAGACTGATCAAGTCTCGGTGGCCAAGAGGGATTCCTCCCGGCTGTTGAGACTGTACAGTGTACAGTCTCAATGGCCAAGAGGAATCCCTCCCGGCCACCAAGACTGGTCCTGATGGCCAGGAGGTATTCCTCCTGGCCATCGAGTGAAGGGAGAACTTTTTTCTCCCTTCACCTCCCAATTATGGCGTCAGGAAGGGCAGGTTTTGTCTACCCGCCCCTTGGAATCCTGTTTTCCCTCAAAAACAGGATTCCGAGGGGCGGGGGCGTGGGCGTGTGGGGAGGAGGGAGGAGTGCATTTATCAACGCCCACCTTTTTATTCTTGAATAAGTGTTATTAATCTTGCAGACTTCTATTCTGCCTTTAGGTAATAAACCAACTCTTTCTTGCTCTTTTATTTATAAAATTATTCAATTGTATTTTCTTTATAAAATATTTTACTTATAAAGAAATGAAACTGTTAGTTTCCAAATTCTTTCAATTGGCTGATCAATGATTCTGGTGGAGAGAACTGTCATCAACATCCAACATGCTCAATCACAGTTTTGTGTACCAATTTTAAGAAGGCTACTCACAATTTCCTCTCAATGGCTGGTACAAAACCAGTGGTTGAGTTTTGGAGATTCCTGTCTTGATATCTACTATACAGGTTACCCACTGTTGAGAAGGGAATATTCCCTTCTTGATGGTAGTATGGAATCATATCTGTCTCTTGCTTGGAAATAGTACTGAACATCAACAAAGGAATGCCTCATCCTTGATGACCAGTACAATACCAGTCATCAAGTAGAGAGATTGGCTGCTTTGTGGAATGGCTTTCAGCTCTGGTCTCCTACTTGACCAAGGACTGAAAGGGTTTTGGGTCTCACTATAATCACAGAAGTCATCATTGGAAGAGAACCTCTCCTCAACCCTTACTGGTGGAGGGGTTTGCTCCTTGTAAATGTAATAGCAACTCCACTATGGGTGGTAAATCTGGAGTGGTAAATGTAGGATTTACCACCCATGTTCAAGAGTTGCCACCTGGAAATTGGGCAGGTGCGCAACCACAAAGTGGCACTCCTACACTGAGGATTGGATCAGCAAGGTTGAGTGAGTGATATTTGCATGTGAACGGGTTTCAACTATGGGGATTTCACAGGTTGGGGGGATGGTTTCACATGTCTGAGAGAGGTACCAGGGGTGGTACAGAGGTGGTAGATATATACCCTTGGTACATTTTTTGGACCAAAAATATTGTTTACAAACCTTTATAGCACCCGCTGTGGCGGGGTGTTTTGAGAGTTGATGTGATAAATGGGGCTTATAACTACCCTGGTTTACCTCCTGCATTAGGTGTGCTCTAAGGGACATTAAAAGTGGAATGAGTTTCACTATGAATATTGTTTACAAACCTTTATAGCACCCGCTGTGGCGGGGTGTTTTTAGAGTTGAGGTGATAAATGGGGCTTACTACCCTGGTTTACCTCCTGCATTAGGGATGCTCTAAGGGACAAAAGTGGAATGAGTTTCACTATGCCTGAGCTTTGAGAGTATAAGAGAAATGGAGTTTTCCTATTCTATGAAGTTGAAGGCTTAAATTTATAGTCTATTCATAGTTCTAAGACATTTACACTAGTAATTTAACAATAGACTAGTTAAAAAAATGCTAACCGTGTGTTAGCGTAGCGTAGTGGGCCCTTTTTTGGGGCCTATGCACGTAGTGTTAGTGAAAATGTGGCGGAATTCTGCTACACTATGCTAAAGTCTAGTGGAATTCCGCTACTGTAACACTACGGTTAGTGTAACTGGCCCACCGTTGCCTTAAGTATTGAAAATCAGAGGTCAACCTGCCTTTGGGACTGGTATGGTCCCCATACAATTACACCATTGAATTGGGGAAAGTTGTTATGATTTTCAAGGTGTTGTAAATGTCCACATGTTGAATAGCGGGGTTCACAATCACAATAGTGTATTTTGCTTCTCGCACCCGTTAATTTTGTTTCTTGCTTGCACATTGCTGACATTGATTTTGTCAGAGAAAATTCAAAATCCTGCGCTCAATTTTATTTCTGCAGCTTCTTGCAAGAACCAAAAGAGCTTTGCGCAAGAAGCGATTGTGATCCCCACTGATATCTCTCCTATTTCAGAGGATACACAGAAGAGAAATATAAGATAAATACATGAAGATAATATCTCCTTTATGAATAAACACAAGAGAGATATTTAGCCTTTCTCAAATTTGTATTATTTTCATAAGAGATAGGCAAATATATATTAATTTGAAGAACAACTAAAATAATAATAATCGTTGAACCTGAAGGGGTTACAATCTCATGTAGACACATGGATTATTGACTCATTTTCCGATGTTGAAGTGAATTTGTGTCCCTCAAAATTAGCATAATCATTGCTTGTTGAACTGTAGAGATATTTGGAGTTTGTAAGCTAGTTGAAACCTAATTGTTGTTAGTTAACATCCAAATGATTGCTTTCAAGTTGTATTTTCTCATTCTTCAAGGTCTCATTCACTCATTAATTCTTCAGGTTTGCTGGTGTGTTCTTTCTATCTCCTCTCAGTTGGTTCTCATTATTGACCACACTGTTTTGGATCTATATAAGTTGTTAATAAGCAATCTTAATGATTAATTTTTTCTGTAAGTAATTATCAAAATAAAACAAGATGAACGCAATGAAACCATGAGAGAAAGGTAATCTAACCTTAAGGCAAACAACACGATGAAGTGAAGAAAAAAAAGAGAAAAATGAGGTACAGGCTGAGGGAAGAAAAGATGATACAATCAATACCTCAATTATTGTTGATAAAAAAAGGTGAGAAGATCAGTTTGCCAATTACCTATAATGAGGAAAAATTGAATTGCTGAATGGGATTGATGAGTGGTTGAATAAGAAGGGAAGCACTTTGGTTAAGTCAGCGTAAGGTTGTTAAGAAGGGATAGTGCTGAGCAAGTAGTGAAAGAAAAGAGACAAGGTGATGAGTATGATATCAAGGTGATGAGATGACAATAATGATGGTAGAGCTTTTGAGTGGAGGACCAGGAGTGATGTGAAGTAAGAGTGTTTGTAGATGATGTTGCGTTTGTAGATAACAGAAAGCAAAGTTTCCCAAGCCAGAAATCCAGAATGAGGTGATAAGGGATTGTTATATATATGTAAGATTCAAGTTGATTGCATTGATAATCTTCAAGTGAATTGATAATAGTTAGTTTTACTGAAGAGATAAGATGAAGGGTATTGAGAATAATGACATATGATGTCATGTGTTGATGTGTTTTTAAGAGATTGGGAGTATGGAGGGATAAGAGATCAAGCAGG